TTACATATCTGACAAATGTTTGTACGGAGTTCGTAATACACGTTTGTTGACATCAAATTTTGCAACTGTTGCGAGCGTTTTTGGAATTGGATCACATTGATCTTCAGTCTTGATATGTGGACTTGAATCAAAGCGACTATGCAATTACAAATTTAATGACATTCTATGTTAGAACTACTTTGAGCACTTCAAGCCGAAGATATGTCAGAATTCTACGTTGAATGATAATGCAATAATTTACTATAAAATCTCTCTGCCTCTATTACGGTAGTTCTGATACAATTCCCATATATAAATGAAATTGGGTAATTAAATTACTCAGTCTATTATTTATGTTACAGTCTAAATAGGTTTGGCCGGACGCACATAACGTCCATAAAGGCTGAATCCGCCTTTTATTATACCGAATTGACTCGGTATCATTTTCCGAATCAATCTAAACTTGTCTGCCCATCTGTCCGTCCGATATCGCTGACGTCTGATGGCCCCTTGAATCCCCATATAACGCTCTATTTGGTTCATAATAGTAAAATTAACAAAGAAATCATCTTTACCGCATTTTGACCACGTGAGTCTATTTTATTGGATATTACCGCATATAAAGATTCTCGGGATAGGTAAATTCCTATATATATGAAAAAAGGATCAATTGTTTTAATGTTTTATGATGAAAATTTGTTCATATGTATGTTATATTTTTGTTTGTAATTATGTTTTTATTTTTTATACTCTACATTGCCTGTTTCCTTGTTCAAATATTACGCGATGCGTTGCGAAATGATGTGACCAAGAAAATGATGAATTAAAACTCACGGATCAAAAATGGCAGTCAATTTTTTTTAACGCGCACATTGGAGAATTCGCGAAAGGTCTGCATCACACGATCCCATTTTACTAAACTTCTCTCCATCTAAGGGCTTACTTTTCATGATAATCCCAACATAGGGTCTTTAAGGGTCTAAAAATAGACCTATGTGATATTGAAAACTAAATATGTTTTTGAGGGGCTTGCTATTTATGAAACATTTTATATGGTCTCGGGTCCAAGAAATAGACTCTTGTGGTGCAAATTCGGTCCACTTAAATTTTATGCCAAATTACTATCATGGATGAATTTTCATTATCAAACATTAATAACTAGGGCTTTTCGGCGTATGAAGCCAGAGAATTTATCACTTACGCTCAGTTTAAATATTTTCGCACAGATTCAGCGGATTCGAATAATGCTTCAAGAATTTCTGAATGCGCCATATAGTTTCTAATGTCTCTTTGCCAATTTATTCGGCCAGTGTTTAATGCGAGCCGTAGGTATTATTTGAAATGCAAAATTTTCAACCAATGCTTTTGAAAATATGAATGCTTTTCTGCATTATTGCCTCTCACCATTTATTTATGTCAAGTCTTCAAAAATTCGTAAATATTAAAAACAATTTCGAACGTTCTGGCTCCGGCAAATAATTTTGATACTAAGAAATGATTTCCAACTCACAACTTACTGCCGCATCGATTCGATTCCATTCGATTCGATTCGCTGTACATAGTTGATGCCAAGTGTTTGCGGAGCTCGGAGCAATTAGTACTAGATTTACCGAGATCGTGTATGTAACCATTTTTACCGAGACCCGTCACTTTGACAGGTAGCTTTTGTGAATAACGACAAAAAGCTGGAATTCGCGCACGCATTTCTTGATCAATTAGGAACATGTGATTAGCATTTTCTCCATCCGATTACAATTAAATTAAAAATGGATTTTTCATTTTTTCGTGTTCAATTTCAGTGTCCGATCGATCCCATTAAGATATTTTTGAAAAGCCGTAATCCAGATGTTCATTACAATCAGCTTCACGTTCAGTCCACCGACCAGCTAACTAACACATCGGCAGTCGAGTCCAATGTGCGTTAGAATAAATCGGAAATAAATAGAAAATATGTTGAAATTAAAATTTTATTGTTAACTGTGGACGTACGAGTAAACCGATAGGTTGGTTGCACCAAAAGTGCAGGTGATTCTGACGAATACTCGGTTACCACATTTTCAAAAATGTATTCACGAGATCGAAAGTTATAGACCAAAATTCGACAAAATTGTCGGTGTTGTTCGAAGTTGTTTGAGTTTCCTCTACATCGGTCCATGGATCTCTACGCGAACAGATCACGCCCATTTTGCAGCTTTTTATCTTTATTTATGCGACTGTGATAATTCACAAAATTTACCCATCGGTAAAAATAGCAAAATGGGTGTACCCCAGAAAAACAGAGTTGGCATATGTATTTGTTGCATTAATTCCAAAAGTCTTGTGTTAAAATTATTTACCTTTTTCTTACCGCCACCACGAAAAGATAAGAATATGAGATTTATTCTTACGCTTGTTTCATCATGTTTTAAATCAATCTAACAATATCCATCGATCGATATCGGCTGTTTGCTGTCGGAAATATTGGGCAAAAACGAAATACGACATAATCCACTATCACAATGGAACACAGAAAGTAGCATAGTTATTGGTGTAAAATTTTGTAGAAATATTTCATAAGGCCATAAAAACGGCGTGTGAAAAATGAATATGATCGGCAAAATTTATGTATTTTTATATATATTTTTGAAAAAAGTACCTTACAATTTTCATTTCTTGATTTGTTTGAAACGGTTGATAGCCATATTTGCCTCAAATTGAAAGTAACATTTTTGATGTTGTGTTTAATTGTGCAATGAAAAAAATAATTATTATCGCGTGTTTGTCAAATTCGTTTAAACCCGCTTCTAATCTAATCACAGATTATTGGTAAGATATAAATAACGTATTGCATGCAACTGTTTTAAATTTTAATTATTAAAAATGCATCAGCATCGATAAATTTTTTCCTCAGCAAAAATGAAAACTAGAGATGATTATAAAAATAGCAAGGCAGGAAAGAACTTTAGAAACAATTGTTAGAAGAAACGAAATACATAAATAAATCAGCGGATTGAGAATAAATTTGTTGTTGATTTGCTGACTCGCAGAAGGGGAAAATCATTTTATTTTAAAAATAATAACAAACTCAATATTTATGAAAATGTACTACGTAATTTGATCAAAAACTAACGATAAATTTTAAAACTTCGTGCATTATATAATCTTACCGTGTTAATTACGTTTTACGTGCATTCGTTACATTGTTAGCAAAGTACGTGACAATTTTGTACGCAATTTCGTTGCTAAGTACGTATTTGCCGAGCGAATAAGCACAAGAAAAAACAATGTTATCGAAACGTTTTATACTAAAAGAATGAAGCGCAGTAATGAATACGTTAAAGAAAGATTTTGATAGCAATATTAAGTTACAACAACAATGAAAAGGCGAAATCTTGTAGAACTTGACGTACGGTGAGGTTAGGTCGTCCATTACTGAATAAGCGAAGATATGAAAAACTTCTTTTGTTATTGTTATTCATAACGAACAAGTAGAAACATTCTATACTGGGTCGCGGTCGATTACTATATACCCTATATCACCCTGCATTAATCGATATTACGACTTTTTCAAATTAAGGCCCGATCGGAATCGAACATTCGGACTTCAATCAAAATACATAACCATATCAAATTTCATCGCAGTCTTTTTCTGAAATGAAACGCAAGACTGAAACGCAAAGTTCCCTAAGTATAGAAAAGACATTAATTAATATTAACTAGTTAGTTTATTTATTTGCCCTGAGTTTAAATTTATATACAGCAACATCTCAAATTATTATATAATCACTATCATCATATTCGATGCAAGTTGAATCTCGATATCCGCTATCCACGAAATCAATTTCAATTATAAAATTATTATAAAGCGCTTTAATTATGTCTGATCATTAATCATCAATTTACATAGCATACTTTTAGGTAAAATTGACAAGTGTTTGCATCAAGATGTTTTGGATCAATATCATCTACATATTCCAACTTATTGTAACTATGTAGACATCAACTAATAATACAATATATTTGCAGAAATTTGCAACCATTTCTTAAATGCTGCAATCTTGATGTACCTACCTAGCATTAAACAGACGGACAAACTAAATTTGGTAAATTAAGATTTCTCAACTAACCAAGTATATCTTCTAAGAAACCATAGACGATTTTTGTGACAATCACCAATTACCATTTGTGTCGAAACACATCTGAGTTGTTACTTATAAGCAGATTTTAAGTATAATTCGACTACAACAGATATCGTCAAAATTTTTCAAATCTTTCTTGTGGGTCAAACAAACACACAGATCGATTTGACTAAATCGATATCTTAATCAGTTTGATATATCGTTTTGCTATATGCCCTATAAACTTTTGCGACAAAGATGCTTATGCTCGATAGATAAATGACTGCTAAAGTTGAAGTATATCAAGTGGAGTCGTGTGAACACAACGCTTTCTGTAAATACAGTTTTGATTATTATCTCATATTTATTATGAAGCTTTTAAAGTACAAGAAAGCAAGTCGCATTTTTTTTTAAGAAAATGAAAGGCATAGAGTAAAAAGCTTACTTTTGCCCACAACTCGCACTACCTTAAACTCTCTAGGAACGATTGTTTTTCACTACACTTTTCTACTATACAAACCAATTTGCAGACCCTTACCTTCACCTTTACTTTATCAGGGCATCAAACCATAAGATTTGTATTTTTCTTGTTGAAAGCATAATTTAATAGAAAATTGTTCTCTTTTTTATTAATGGTAGCAATTGCAATTTAAAAGAGGCTAACCGTACACATATGCGACCAGAGCCGTCAATCGGTTAAACCATAATCATAACAATAGTCGCCGCATGTATTTATGTTGCATTTATTGAAACGTAAATATAAACTTGGGCATACGTAAAATGCAAGCGCAGACACAAGTTAACAACAATTTCTGTTTCAAGTTGCATTCCATAATATGACTGTTAGATTAGGGCAATATATAGAACAATGTATAGAAATTCTATTGCTTAGTTCGTTAGTCCTTAGTAGCTACAGTTACTTACAGTTTTTGAATTGCGTCCGCTATTGAGGCTACTATTTACTGCATTAATAGCTCCACCTCCTGATTCACCAATCTGTTGTTGTTGTAATGCTTCAATTTGTTTGCGTAATGTCAAAATCTGCAAAAGAGGAGCGTGACATATATAATTTTTAATTTCTTATTATATTCATAAAATAAACTGCACACGCAATATTATCATAAATGTACTTTAAACGTTTAACCTCTTTTTAGGGGCCAATCAATTGAGCTTTAGTGAATACTGAGCACTACCATTGCGCATCCATGCACATATATTATGTTATTGAAAAAAATATTTAATTTATGATAAATTATAATTATAAATGCCATAATTGAACAGAAGATTGATTTATAGTAAATTGCATTAATAAATACCTATACGTATTTACTATTTTCGTAATTGTACTCGGTGTTCAAGTTTTAACACACTTCGCTATAAAATTCGCTCGATAACATAGAATTTTTCTCTATTATGTCTAAAACGAATAACTTGATGCTTTTCTTACGTACTCTTAGCACTTAAATGTTATTTTTTTTTTTATTATTATTATTATTATTTTTAACTAATAGTGGTTCTTTTTTAACAACAACTAAAACTCCAAATTCAGTACATTCGGAAAGAATCAATAAAGTGTATAATAATGTTGTTGGTGTATGCGAGGGCATAAACATATGTGCACCGTCATATACATGCACATATTACTTAAATATGTAAATATACTGTGTAGTTAGTTTTGCACACAACTCACTTCGGCTTCCTTTTCCATGCATAGCTTATCCAATTCTTCTTTCTCTTTTTGCGTATCGGCCAATAATTCCAATGCAGTACGATTATCAACAGCTGGATCACAATATTCGCTATCGCCAGGACCAACAGTTTCGGCAAGTACCTCTTGCACCAAAGTACTCACTTGGCCTTTAATTGTATTCAAGCTGTTATTTAACCAAGACATTGCTTCCTTTTTTCATCAATATCGATCCCTCCTTCGCATTCACATAAAAGTTTTAACAATTCTATTCTCGATACACTGGTGATGAAAATTATTTTGTTTATTAGAAAATTTGTTCTTGACAGCTTGGCAAAATATGAGGAAAAAAAACGAAATTTATTTGTATTGTATTTATTTTGATTTTGTGTTGATATTGGTGCTATGTGTGGAGTTTCTTTATGTCGTACAAACTGTCAAAAACATATGTTTCTTTTCAATGCGGTTGATTTGCAACAAAAGGAGAACAGCGCATGCTATCGCACATCGCTGAGTGACCCAATCGATTTTCTCTTTACACAAATTGTAGGACGGCACGGTTTTATAAATAACCAATTTTACTCGGCGGGTATTTTAAATTTTCAAACAAACACTTACAACAAAAATTCTAATCCTCGCCCTTGTCCATGCCCCAATTTCAATCGGGTGGATTTTAAAAAATGAATCCCTTAGATTTGAGTCAAAATCTCTTCATATGACTGGATTTGTTTTCTTCGTATATTTTACAGTAACATTCATCGAGTTAAAAACTAAAATTTCAATATAACACATTAGAATACATAGTACAACGTCGTTTATAAACTTGAACAGTTGTGATTTTTATGAGAAATGAGGAAAAGAAAAAATTAAATTCATTCTGGTTCGAGGCTTTAAAATGGTCTAGCCTGTGAGCTAAAACCAAAGCCCACGCCACGCATAGTATGAGTAGCCTGGCGGGCTACTTCGTATTGCTGCTCCATACTGGAAAACATGGCCTCCCGGGTCTTTACATCGCAACTGGTAACGGCAGAGTTCGAGTTATTCTGCTCACCATTAGCAGAGGAAGTTGCTGTTTGCGTTGTGGTGACGGAAGCCGGCGTCATATTCTTAATGCCCATTAAGCGCATAAATTTGGACGCTACCTTCCCATCAGTATCTTGTGAAAATTGAGCGTTACCCCATTTTGAAGCTGCATCTTCGGTTTTCTTGGCTCCCCAAAGGAGTTTACGCTTTTGCATTTGCTGCGCATATTTATTAGGATTTATAACGTTTGGGTTGTAATAGCTGGGCAATTGAACTGTAGCAGTAGTTGTTGCCGTGTTACTTGAGGTAAGCGAAGTATTGATCACAGGCATTATAGATGTTGTATTCGTCTGTTTGGGAGCGGTTTCGCCTAATGGCAAATTACAGAGATGCTCAAAATTACGCGCTGCAGGTAATTTCGTAGTAGTTGCATAATTACTTTCATGCTGCGAAGTAACTCTAACTTCCGTGTGCACTTCTTTTTCAGGCACATCATGAGTTGTACTAGATGGCGAACGATTTATTTGGTGCTTTTCAATTGACTGAGAACGTGAACGCGAACGTGAATCCCGTTGACGATCACGCCGAAAACCCTTATAATCGTCATGCTTTTCTGAACGCCTGCCCGCCGTATTGCCGCCACTGGCTACATTTTGTGGTGTAAGTGAACGCCTATAACGATACTTGGACGAGAAGGAGCATTTGTCCTCGTTGTAAGAGCGTTGAAAACGTTTTTCATCATGCCCACCGCAACCAGAGCGCCGTTCGTCGTGCATACGTCTGTCCTCGTGAGCTCTTCTATCTTCATGTCGTGGTTTTGGGGATTCATAACGGCTCGATTTTCTCTCTTCATGACGCTGCAGAATACGTGGTTTATCCTCATGGCGATGTTCTTTTTTATGATCCCTGGTATAACGATAACGGTCACCACCATGCTGCGTAATATTAAAAAAATAAATAAATAAATAAATTAAATAAGAAAAAAAGTTATTTTCGATTGCTTACTACATTAACAAAAAACCAATTCTCTTACCTTTTTATAATCATATTTATGGCCATTGTCACAAGACTTGTAATCTTCTCCTTTATGACTACGAGAATCCCTAGATTCTTTGGTATGACGAAAATCTCGTTTCTCGCGACTTTCCTTATGAGTATCAATTCGTTTCGAAACTCTGTATTTGTCCTGTAACAGAAATTTTATTTTCAAGAACACCCTACATGTTAGTAAGTTACTTATTACTTAAATGATTCTTCTACAACTCTTTAAATATTGAATTAAATGAAAAACATAAATATTTAAAACCTTAACAGTAACCGAAAAGAAAATTTAGTTTTACTCCTTTACCCTTAATCCTTAATTATATGTATACATATATATATATATATGTATATATATATATATATATATATATTAATATATATATAATTATTTTTAATATTTTATTGATATTATTAAATGAATTAGTAGCAATTCTTAGTTTTTGAAATATACTTAAGAAAAAAAATGCTGTAAAAAATTTTATGATTAATAGAAATTAATTGCAGTATACTCACGTTTATAAGCCGCTCAGTGTTTATTTAGCATAGAAGCTTAAGCAGAGTAGAAGTTAGAAGAGTGTGGCAGTTTTTTATTTTCTATTTAACTAACAACAGCCTTTCAGCGTTTTTGTTTTTGTCATTATTCATGGTATTTTCTCAATCAATCAATCAATCAATCATGACTTTTTTTCTACAGAGTGATGTTGTTTACTGAGACTGAATGGTGACCGTAGTACATTTTGGCTTTAATTTTTATTTTTCTTTTTTTTTAGGTTGATTTACATTTAAACAATTTTTATATTGTTCGTGTTTTTTTTTATATATAATACAATAATAACAAAAGTGGATATTTTATTAATTATATTAAACAAGAGTAAAACTAAATCTAAAATTTAAAAAAAAAAAAAAAAAAAAAAAAAAAAAAGGAAAAGAATAACAGAAAACCTAAGACAAGTGAAAAGAACGAGTCAAAAGAGTGAGAAAACTATGATATCGTTTAAAATTGACCGTTTAATAATATATCCATATTCATGTGCTCTATTATGTGAGCAACTACTACATTTTTTTACCCTTCATCAACAGATGATGGGATGTTATAACAATTTTGTCATCTCACATTTGAGAATATTTTTAACTGAACTAAGATTACGAACCCATTAAAAGATTGTCTGCATGTTGTTGCAGAGTTCAATTCTTTCGTTCTCTGACGCCGCGCTAATTGTCCGGCCCAATGCAGATAGAAAATCAAACAACAAAAGCATTATGTGAAAAAGGGCTCGATAAGGATCACATTAAACGGGAAATGTCTTCGATGACGCAATTCAAAAATATTACACTTGGATCTATACATAATTTGCTATAAATGCATATCGGCTAACTAAATGGACACATGCCTTCACATTGCTCCAAAAGCAATTACAAAATGTTTTTTATGCTTTCCCCGCTAACACTAATATTATATCTACTAAATCTTCCAATCCATTATCAATACTAACGAGTTAAGCGACCAAAAAAAAACTCAGCTTAAACGAACCTAAGAAAAATTGTTCAGTAAAAACAAAACATTTTTATAGAATTTATCAATTACTAATCTACTGACATACATAATGTATCGATTTGCCTGTAATTGCATTTCATGACTACGGCTCAAGTACAAATAATAAGTAAATATCCTCGAAGCACAATATACAAACAGTGGATAATATGTAAAATAGAAACTATAGCAGCGAATATATACCATTTAAAGAAAATGTGTATAAAATACGAGAAAATAACTCTTGTCCCACGATTGTCGCACACAAAAGAAAATCAATAAATCCAAAAAAAAAAGTTTACATATATATATCCGCAAACAACTTTTGTGTGCGCGTGAGAGTTAACATCAAATATCCTAACAAGAATGCACAAACCCTTCTCACTCATTATTAACACATTGACATCACAAATTTTTCTTCTAATAAAACATATATAATATTTGTTATATAAAATTAAAGATTCATTACCTCGTCATTATAATGGCGACTACTGCTTTTACTATGCTTTGCATTTCCAGTTCTATAGTCGTCGATATCATCACCATTTTTATGGCTTTTATGAGAGGGTGTATTATCACGGCTATCACTAGAGCTACTACTGGAACGTGTATTGCGCTTCACATAGCCGCCCCCGCGACCGTATATGTTGGCCGTACTGCTACCACAACCACCAGAACGTTCAGCCTAAAGGAATTTGGCAACTATTCAGAAACAGCAAATAAGTGTTATTTGACGTACAAACTAATACGTTTTGGATAGATATTAATATGTGCTTCAAACATAAAAAATGTTCTTCCGAAAATTTATTTGTCTTCCGCGGAAGAGCAAACCATATAAATGCAATAAATAATCTAACAAATTAATGAATAATTTCTGTATACATTTTTTTCTATCGTCGACTTTTTTTATAGTTTGTCAGCCATTTTCTTTTCAAACAGAAATTTTATAAATATATGCATATAAAATTTTTCTAAATATTTTCTTAATAATTTAATTTATAATTACCACTTTTGGACTTTGATATGCATCTTGGTCCTCTTCGCTGCTATAATTTACAAGTCCTTCCATTTCCTCCTTAATAACTTCTTAAGGTTCACCCGTGGCCAAATGCTTTCTTCAAGAATTATGGATTTTTCTAACCAATTTACAAGGAACTGCCAACAGCTCGTATTTATAGTTATTTACAGGATAAGATTGCCGCTGATTAATTATACATTTTTGAAGCTCGGAATATAGCTTTGAGATACGCGAAATATTACGTGTTCAATATATTAGGTAAGTAAGACGAGACATTTTAATTAATTTCTTGTCTGGACCTTTAAAATGAAAAAGTATTGAAACTACTTTAATATTATTAATACTAAGTTTACGATTTGTATTCTGAGGGGTAATCACTTACGAAAAATTTAACCTCCCGATGTTCCTGTTTTACCTGCACAGTTGAAGGCAAAAGTGTTAGCTAACCTTCAGTTGGGTGTCTATTCTTTCTCGACAGTAATGTTATGTGACTTTGTTCATATTTATTTCTATGAATATTTTATATTCTTTACTTCTTCATATATTGTCTCAGTTCATACAAATATTAATGTTTATTATTTAGATGAATTTACACCATTAGAATTTTAGTATGTAAGACCAGAAGTTTATGAACAAAGATAAAGGTGTTCTGAAGATTTCATTCGAAGCCCTAAACGCATTGAATCCTTAGCGCTCGTACGCTGCGCTACACCTTGCTAACCTTAAATATGCAATATAAATTTCACCTCACGCTAACTGTAGCTGATAGAATTGCAGGTCAATTAGAATATGAGTTCTAATCGAAGGCAACGTGATCGTTTTAAATACAGCGGCACTAACAATCGTAATCAGATTGCGGAGTCTTATTAAGCTTTGAGGTACGATCAGAGTTTTTCAAATAGAGATTATATTCTAATTCACGTTGCAACTTCATTTGCAGAACAATTTTATTTATTTATTTATTTTAAATGAATTAGAACGGAAAGTCCACTTAAGATCCGATCTCACACCCAAAGTTGTAATACAATTTAAAATTCAGCCAAAATCAGATCAGATATTCCTGGGATTCTAGTTAAAAATAAAATTCTATTTGCACATGATTATTATTATTATAAATTTAGCCAGAAAAAAAAGTTGTAAGACTAATGTCTTAAAGCACTAGTATCTAAGGCTTTCGGCTTTTATTAAAAACTCTACCGCACTTGAGAGATTTGAACCCAACGGCCATTGAGTTGCTAGTCGAGACTCTTGGCTACTCGGCCACTCAGACGGATATGTTTGCAAATAAACTTGACTTTATTTTCAATTGCAATCCTGATTGTGGTCCAAGTTTACTTTCCCGTTTGTCTTTCATTCTAATTGTAATCCCAATCCTAATTATTTCTATTTTCAATTTCCATTTTCAAACAGGTACAAATTTTAAAATGTTGCCAAAAGTCTGCGTTCACGTACAACGTAGCGCGAGCTTTATGTTTTATCTACATTTAAACACACTCAATGAATTTTATTTTGACAGCTCGAGCGCTACGCACAACGACCTTTAAAATCAAATGTAATTGTTGGTATGTTAGAAGTTAGAGCAATGCAAATTAAAACAAAGTTTGCGTTATGCGTTGTGCCTGGCCCACGAACTGCCCAAACAAATTTGATAAAAGTAGTTGAACATGTAGCTTGCGTTGCTTTGTGTATTAATGCGAGTTTTTGCAAACTTTAAGTACATTATATATGCATTAGCTTGTTAAGTCAAATATTGTAGATTTGATATTTTGTTATTTTTTACTAACTTTTTATTAATTTAAATAAAAGACGTGTGTCGTTCCAGCAAAAATAGTTGTGCAAATGAAAAACTCAAGCTAAACGTTAAATTTATGAGGTTCAAACAAAAAACTTCGTATTCATATTGAAAATTTGTAGATTATTCTATCATCGAAAAAGCTGTAGTAGCACTAAACTCTTAAGATACCACTCCACTCTTTGTATAACAGATGATCTTTGTCTTTTAAAGATATATACACTGCTGGCGTTTGCAATAACTACGAGCTTGGTGCTGTTAAATGCAAACGTATTCTAAAATATAAAAATGCATAAAAATATTTAGTTTCAATAACATATGTATAATGTATACATGTTGCCTTTAAACAATAATAATAAATACGGCTCAGCATTAACAATAAAGTAAAATTATATTCGCCTACAAAGATTACTCATTGTTGGGGAGCAGGCTAATATAAATAATACGATACGATAAAATATCACTGCTGTTCTCCCATATGTAGGTGTTCTTCATATAACTTTGACATTCTACAACTTTGGCAACAATAACATCACTATTGTATTTCTATTTTACCAAAGTCAGAGTCAAAAGGTAGCGCCAAGTAACATAAATTGATTCGTTTTTTGAGTAAAAGGAATTGGAAAAGCTCAATATAAGAATATGTCTTTTGAAGCGGACTACGAATACGCCTTGCAATTGCATAATCTCTTGAACTCCTCTAGTCAGGAGAAGTGCATTGACGACGATATTAAATTTGTGGATTTTAAAAAATCTTCGCAAAATAAACCAAAAAAAAAAGCGCATTAACCCGCGTTCAAACTTAGATGCGGATCATATATATCGGATGCAAAATTTATGGCATCCTCAGTGCGAATTTTTAAATCCAACACCGAACATTGTCGCTCTTTTCAATCACTTTGACAATAAATTTTTCCAAAATCGTCTTAAATGCGTCACTTTAGAATGGGGTAAACGAATGCACAGCTGTGCAGGTATTTGTTATTCGCGTAAATATTGTGATGATAAGGATATTACAATACGTTTAAGCGAGCCCTTACTAGCATTGAGGCAGCGCAAGGTTTTAATTGAGACTATGCTACATGAAATGATTCATGCTTATTGCTTTGTTTTACATATCCGAGAAAGCAATGGTGGACATGGCCCTCAATTCAAGAAGATAATGAGTGCTGTTAATAAAGTAAGTGGCACCAACATTACTGTGTACCACACGCTCCGTGATGAGATAAAATCGTGCAACTTGTATTGGTGGTGTTGTAATGGCGTTTGCCAAGAACGGTCGCCGTTCTATGGTCATGTTATACGTACATCTAACGATGCTCCCGGTCCTACTGACATTTGGTGGGCTAAACATCTAGAGGAATGTGGTGGTACGCTCATGAAAATTAAAGGGCCTGCCGAAAAGCTTAGGCTGAAGAAAATCAAAAAATCAAATAAAGAAAAGGAGAAAAGCTCCGACGAAAATAATGAATCACCCGAAAACTTGACTTCAGAGTTAAATAATACAAATGTACACCTTATTAATGCAGGTATAAATCACTTTCTGGTTTTTCGTATGGTAGTATTTGTGTTTTAAGATACACAATTTAAAGTATGTAGTATCTTAGAGGCAATCGGTGCAAAACTGCTTATCCTATTGACAGTCTGCATATGTGCTAGTCATGATAATTGACATCCAAAGTAGCGCCGATTAGGAAACGAAAATCCAAATCGGCTATTCTCATATATATTCTCCTGTAAAATGTCCTTTGCATTAAAAAAATGAAATAAGTTAAAGAGGGATGGTATTGGCCCATAGTCACTTCTCACTTTTCGTCAATTTAATCTTCTTAACTGCATTTTTATTTCCATTTCAGGTCGCATATCCAAATCAAATGACCTTGGTACAATGTCGTTAGGTTTAACAGCATCAGTTGCTAAAGCTTTTCCACCTACTTCATATCCAGGGTTGTCCTCTGATCCGTTTAGCGTATTAATAAATCGTCCCACCTCGGTACAAACGTTCAGTTCATCAAGCGCGCCACGCGGTAATTTGCATAATGTTGTCGGTCTTAAAGATATAGGCACTAGATCAAAACCATCATTTTCCGATTGGGGAAAAAGCGCTTCATTATCTCAAAAAAGTGACCAACGCTCTACTCCTGGAAATCATATTGATCGTCAGTTTTTACGCAGCGTGTGGGAGAAACGATGGAATGGTGGCATTGATAATCGACAAAACCGTGCAGATGACAACGGACCTACAGGTATAGAAATATACGGTCTCGTCACTTGAAATGTTTCAAATTAACCTCTCATGTACACCTTTGTTGCAGTTGACATCAAACGTAAGCGCATCTCAAATGACGGTAGCCCTTCAGATGTAATTTGCACATCCGTCGAAGGTCCGTCGTGTGCAAAGAATCAAAAAGATTGGATTGCAATTGATGAAGATGTTATGGTGCAAGATAATAGTTCTGACGACGTTATAAGTCTATCGTCTGGCGAAGACAACGACGATCAGGATGATGAGGAGTATGAAATATATAAAGCGACCATAAATCAAAAAATGACGTTAGCGGAAAGGCAGAAGGTGATAAAAAAAGAAATAATCGATGAATCCGTTGATTTATGCGAGGGTGACATTGAGCTAATTGACGATGAATTTGATGATAACTTTGAGCAGAGCTATGAAATAATAGCTTCTAGCGAATTACCCAACACTAGTGTTATAGACAAATACTTTAGCTCGAACAATTTTTTAAGAGAATTTCAAAAAGATAATGACTTGATTGCGTCCGGATCGAGATTAAATTCAAGTAACGAAATTGTAACATGCCCAATTTGCGAAACAAAAATGCCGCGATGGCAATTTGCTAAACATCTCAACGGCTGTACCGGTATAACTCTCAAAGTCCAGCCACGTAAACTGGCCTTTAAAAACTTAGCTACTGCAACTAAAGAAAAAAAGAGTGCACGCTTTTCCAGCAAGACAGCCAAAAATATATTACGCAACGCTGGTTACTTAGATAGCGATCTAACTCAAACCGATCTGCTTAGCAGCTTCGGTGAGGAAGCTGAACGTGAATTCGAGAGTTCAGGTGTAGATCCTTCAGAGAATAATACTATAGATCGTAGTTCGCCGCCGGAAGGCGAAGACATTAAACATTATCGTCAACAGAGTATTTACAAAACAACGCGACAGTGTCCAATATGAGCTCGAGAAATAGAGAGAACCGACGTCAATAACCATTTGATTATATGTGCACGCAAAGGAAATAAAAATTCTAGATAAACATAATTTCGTCTGCATCTCATTTTCTATTTGCTGGCTGCATTTGCAAAATCATGCGAAAAACGTTTACTTACGCCTATACTCTTACTTACTATTTCCCATATTTATTTGGTATAAGATTTCCGAGACAACGTCCTAATGGCTCTAAAAATAATTATATACTATAATTTAGATCATTCTTTTCTTATGTTTTAAAAGGTGTCCTTGAACGCTGTTTTGAAATAAATTTTTTTTTGTTAATTTATCTATTTTTACAAGCCTGCCTTGTTGCTTTTCTTGAAGTTAATGCCGCCTTTTTTTTCATTAAATTGTAGTTTTCTCTTTCAGTTTTTACAATTGTAGTTTTTGTTGAAAACCGTTTGATGTGTAGACGGACTTCTTTAAAATCCTACGTTATTCAGAGCAACTTCGTATAAGAAATAAGTAAAGACGTCTCCAGAGAATGGCAGCAGTGCTGTCCTCAAATATTATAAAAAAAATTGGCAAAGAATCGGCCTTTTCTTAGTGGCCTTTTTTCAGTGGTCTATCGCCTTAATAAAATTGATCAAACGTTTCACATAAAGTCTTCAACGGATTAAACACTTTACAATTCGTTCGATATTGCGACCATCGACAAGACGATTCAAATATATTTATTTCGCTAAGCAGAACTATTGAAGAATCTTTCCCTCCCTCAAGAAGAGAAAAAGTTAAAAATGCACTCAATTATCTGTGCCTCTCATTTAAAACTTTCTAGCGAAATTAGTAACACTAAAAATATTGTTAGTAGCGCGAACAAAAGTAAACTTAAACAAATTAAAATGTTATAGCACGAAAGCGCTGTCTTTTAGGTATTCTGTTCAATTCTTCCTTCCCGCATCATGAATTACACCTTGTTGACATAAAAAGGGATATTATGTTTATGGCGTGCAATCCGAAAAATAGTTGTATTTAGTCCACATATTATAAGCGAAATTGCTATTTTATAGCAACCTTCGTCATAAAGCTAAAGCTGCGTCTTGTTTCTTTATAAAGAAAACGATTCTAAATTGACTGGTGTTGTTAAGGATGTATTATAAGTCTATCAGGGTACATTTAGAAAAATTTAGCGCATATTCGCTACAAGCATTGTCGCATTTAAAAAGATTTTCCGCATGACGGACAGACGGACATGTGTAAGTCGGTGATTAAGAATTAATGTATTTTATAAGATCTCTGAAGCCTTCTTGTGGTGATGAGCATAAAAAACTATTATCATCGCAATTATTAACGCATTAGAGATAGAACTCAAATAACGATGAAGAGTTGATCATTCTATAATAAAATTTAAAAAACAACTTCATACGAAAGCAACAACCGCCAGTTTTAGTCACCGAGTTTTTATGAATCGCGTACAGTGCATGTACAAAGTTAGTGTCGACATTGGTGAGATATGGGAATTATGATATGAAAAACTACAGTCATAAACAGAAGATGCGTGTCGATAATGACACAAAGCTTCCTTTGAAGCAGCTGAACCCTTTGGTAAGCAAAAATAAAATAAAGATAAATGGATCAACAACACACCCTTCTGAACGGATGAACGTATATACACACAAAATATAATTGTAAACCCCACTTCACTATCTACGAAACTATGAGTTATGTTTCTGAAGATACCCAGATAGCTTTTTATTCTACATTGATATATAGATTTGTGGTTGTTCATTTTATTCGTGTATGTGATTCGAAACGGATCAGAGTCTTTTTCTAAGATTCTTTGAAAATTAATGAAAAGGAATAAAAATGAAATTTGGTGACCCTGTTTTCCTTTTTTTTTTTTGTTTTTTTGTTTTGTTTTTTTTGGTTCAATGTTTTCTATTAGCACTGAATTCAATAATGATCCAATAAATTCAGCCCAGTCACAGTTCTTAACCCGCGAAAGAAAAAAAGATTCAGGAATCTATTTCATTTGTTAAAGTTTGTGATTATATATTTTTTTGATGAACTCTTTGATTTATTGTTTCAATAGAAGAAAGGTTTTCAAAGGAATTTGAAGAGAATGCCTCTGGACGAAGATTATAAATATGCCTTGGAGTTGCATAAACGTTTAAACGGCGGTAGCGATGGTAGCGGAGAAGATTATGCTGATAGCGATATTCAATACATGGGTTCTAACAAATCCATTCAGAATTCATTGCAAACAAAACGTAATAATTTGCGTTCAAATTCAGATGACGATTATCTAAACAGCACCCAAAATTTGGTTCATCCTCAATGGGAAATCTTGGATCCAACGCCTGACATTTTCGCTCTTTTCGGTCAATTTGATAACAAATTTTTTCAATGTCGCTTAAAATGTGTGACTTTAGAATGGAGTAAACGAATGTTCAGCTGTGCCGGTATATGCTATTCGCGTAAAAACGCTCTTGGCATGGATGTAACGATACGTTTAAGTGAACCTTTGCTAAAATTGAGACCACGCAAGGATTTGATTGAGACTATGCTACATGAAATGATTCACGCGTATTGCTTCGTTTTGCACATTCGTGAAGGCAATGGCGGTCACGGCCCTCAATTTCAGAAAATAATGAATGCCATTAACCAAACTGCTGGCACGAACATCACGGTTTATCATTCATTTCATGATGAAGTTAAATTATATAAACAACATTGGTGGCGGTGCAATGGTGTATGCCAAAATCGTTCACCCTTTTTTGGCTATGTGAAACGCACTTGCAATCGCGCCCCGGGGCCAAATGATTTTTGGTGGGCCAAACATCAACAGGATTGTGGTGGAACTTTTATCAAAATCAAGGAGCCTGACAAGAAAAGTAAATCGAAAGCAAACAAAAAATTGGAAACGAAAAACGATAAAAAGTCATATGGAAATGAAGATTTGCGCAAATTTTTTTCACCAACTGCAAATGGCTTCCAAGGTCGTGAAGCGAACACAAAAGGTCTTAATAATCTAAACAACGGCTTTAAAGGTAAGTTCTTATTTTGCTCACTACATGTCTGCTTATGCCTTGCACTGCTAATCGGATATATCTGGCAACGCTCTTAAGTGTTAAAATTTGTTAAGATAATTATGTCCTTAGAGATGCCGAAAAATTGCTTAAAATTTCTCTTGCCACTTACTATTCCAACTTTTTTCTGTTATTCAAAGTAGTGCCCATGGGCGGAGACAAACATATTAAGAAATTTCGCAAATTAGTGCATCTCTCTTAACGGTTTCAGGTATTCTTTCCAAAAAGTTAACAGCATATAAGATAAACATATATAACTTTAAGGTCGGTTTAGCATGTAAAATGCGCGAATTTCAGAAAATATAATTCCCTCCGTCTTTGACTACTGTATTGCAGGTGGCAGCACTAAAACGAACGGAGGCGGCACTATATTATTAAATCCTCGTACCAAAACCGCTTCAAACTCCAGCACTTCGGCAGCTAAAATTTTCCCACCAACATCATATCCTGGTTTGTCGTCCGACCCTAATCCAACAAATCATTCCAGCCCATCAAGTTTGCCACGGGGCAACTTACGCAATGTTGTCAGTCTCAAGGATGTTGGCACTAATATAAGGTCATCATCTTTCAAATCGTCCGACTGGGGGAGAGGCAACTCGTTGTCTACAAGTAGTCCAAAAGACAGTGTTCCTAGTGGTCAGGTGGATCGTCAGCTTTTACGCAATGTATGGGCGAAACGTTTTAACAGCTGTGATGCTGACTGTGATAAAAGTAACAGTTCGAAGAGACATAAACGCAGTGAGGACGAAGTCCCGGGTAAAGCAATCGAATTTTCATTCTTTGTCCAGAAAGTGTAATTTTTGTACCTTTTTGTAGATGATATTAAACGTAAACGTATCTCAAACAGTAACAAGTCGCCAGCCTCATCTGATCCTAGTTCTCTTGATAAGAAATTTTCTATCGGTGTCCACCGTCGGAAAGACTGCACTGTAATAGATGAAATTATTGACTTATCATCTAGTGAAGATAGCGACAACGATAACGATTTTCAGTATAAATTAATTAAACCGACTATAAACAAAAATATGACAACAGAGGAAAGACAGACCATGATTAAGCAAGAAATAATTGATGATTCCACTTCTCTATCTGACACTGATATTGAAATTATTGGCGATGAATTTGACGATAATTTCGAGGACAGTGACGAAATGATAGCTGCGGGTGAACTGGCCGACATTAGTGTTATAGATGAATTCTTTGGTGAAGATACTCTTTTAAAAGGATTTCAAACAGAAAATGGTTCGTTCGCCTCAGGATCAAGATCAAGTTTTAATAACGATGTCATAACATGTCCTGTTTGCCAAACCAAAATGCCTAGGTCGCAGTTGGCCGAACATCTCGACTGTTGCACTGGTATAAGCGAAAAAATTGAACATAATGAACTAACCAATAGAAAGGTACCGGCTGTGTCAAAGAAAACTCGAAAAATGCGCAAATCAGCTAAAGATATATTACTTGATGCTGGTTACTCGGAAGCTGATCTATCCAAAATTGTTAATTTGGATAATTTTGATGAAGATGAGTATGAAACTAAGATATTGTAGTTCAAAGATCGGCACTGGCAATGGAACTGTATGATCAACGAACCATTTATGAAATAACACGTGTATGTTCAAGAAGTGAAAGAACTTCAAATAACCGAACATCTCACGGAACGTTTACGCGAGCGATAAAATAAGTACATGCCTGAGGTCGATCAAAATACGTTTTTTCATTTTCCGAATGTTTTTGATTTATTATTTAAAGCTAGCAAATCTTCACAGACAATTTCTTAAAAATATACTCAACTACATAAAAAATATATGAAACTAAATCAGAAAATTTCGTTATTTGCTGATAAAAATTATAATTTATAGTTTACATAATATTTCCAAAATATTTGACATTTTCCCTATGACGGTATTTATCGGCCAACGGCTGCCACTGCACTACAAATAAATCGGCGAAGTGCAATAAGATTTTTCCACTCAGTGATAGCGTATGAACTCGACAAAAACTTTCAATAAAAATGATTTTTGTTTTTCTTTCCAAACGTCCTGCCAATCTCCATAGATAAGTGGCTATACAGAAAGGCACGCATGTGCCAGGGCCATTGCATAGTATTAGACGCGGCTGATCACGAAATATTAACCAAAAACTCCAAATGAAAGCATACAAAGTAGTAAAAATAGTGCTCAGCCAACTTTGTCCCACTTCGCGACTACGGGGAACTTCAATGAAGGCATCGGGTTCTATATGATGGTTAATAGACTCTTCTAGCGCCTTTTTGAAACGTACCTTTGAGGTAGTGTCTGTCGTAGCTAGCAAATACTTTTGGGGTTTGTAGTATCCCGGTTCTTCACTTAATTGAAATAGCGCCTGAATTATTTTGACCATTTCTGAGGTATGTCCCCCAGAACCCAAAATCACATAAACTGGTTTAGACGTAGGACCAAAAGCCGGCATATGTATATTTTAAAAGCTTCTTTTTTTTTTTTTCTCAAAATAATTTCTTCAGACGTGATGTGTTTACTTACTTTGTTAGGTTTAGGATTACCATACTTTGGCTTTTTATTTGACATATGGAATAGAGATTTAAATTATCCAATTTAACTAGTATTGCTTAAATTAAAAAAAACACTTTTTTGCTATTCAAAATTTTTCTGTCATCCACTTTCCACTACCCCCATAAGGAGCAGATGGGAAAAGTAAAAGTAATAGAAACTTGGCTGGGTTTGTCCGCTAATAAGGCTGCATATAATAAACATTGGGGAAGTCACGCTTCCCTGGCTTATCATATATCCTTTAGAAACTAAAAAAAAAAAAAAATAAGCAACTTAGTGTAAACATAAGTAACCAGCTTACGATTTGAGAAGTATAAGTAAAGAAAAGAACGTAACAACATAAAGTTTGAAATGAATAAACAAGACGAAACTGTAAGAATAGTTCATTATATAAATCAAAGCCAGGAACCATGCTAAAAAGTTCTTTCAAACTTTACAACTCTTGCACGTTTAACAATTTTTACGAGTGAATGTTCATTACTGTCAACATATTCCATTTAATTTTAAGACGTTCGCATATGTATACCTGTCTGTTCGTTACATTTACAATGAATACCAAATATGACATCATCCCTTTAGTGGTTCCGAGAATAAATATAAATAAAACTCACTTTCAACTGAGATTTAGGTGAAATTTTTTTCAATATATTGTTTGGACCTCATCATTATTTGTGGATTACAAATACATGCAGAGTTATACATCGTACACTTATTACGAAAATAATGAACGCATGTCACGTTGCGTGCATGTGAGATAAAGTGCATATTCGGTTAAATGGCTTCTTAAATAAGTTGTGACCCACTGTGCTTTTCGCATTCTGCTCTCCAAATTCTTTTATTTGATCGCCATATCGCTGGTTTTATTAAAGAGGAAGCAATCACGGCGTCTATCATGTTTATTATCAGATATTAATCCGTAAAGCAAATATGGAAAGTTTCAACCTTCTAACTGTAATAATTTCCGATTAATGAGCTAAAATCCAAAAATTTTTGTTAGAAAAAACTGAATTGAGTTCAGTTTACGCTCCACTGCGCGCTTTAGCTTCGACCAATTTGGCCCATTTTCAATGCCAACCTGCGTGCAGGAACTTCCAATGTCTCTACTAAATTTGAATTCGATATTGTCAGTTTTGCGAGTTTTGCATTGAAATCTCCCTTGGCCGAATTTATCATATATTGCCGCTAGTCTCACAAAACGTCATTAAAGACACAACAAATTTTCTCCATTCTTTTTTTTTTTTTTTTTTTTTTTTTTTTGTTTATTTTCTATACATTTTCAAACAGGAGGAATACTTTAAATTTAATTTAAATAGCATTATTTTGGATATAGTTACGCTTTCTACAGACAACGAACCATGCTTTTATATTGCTTTACGCAATTTATAGATTTTTCGAGTAAGAGCATTAATGCTATGTTTCAAGTAGTCTTAATAATAAAGCTCACCTATGAAGGCATTATTATTATTATAAAACAGCTGCTACAAAACCACTCAACATATGCGATATTCAGCATTCAGCATTCATTTAGCATAAAATTAATTCAGCATTTGGCATCAAAATAAATCAACAAGTTTCACTTCTTTTTTCTTTTTGCGTCTGCAAGCTTATGTTTATTAAATTATAATTAAAATATAAAACACAATGAATTGAAAATATTTAATATTATTTATACAGACGTTAAAGAACTAATAATTTTATAAAAGTTTTCCGTTGTTTCGTTAAATCAAAGTTAAATTTAAGAAAAATCTCCGATATTGTTTTTGTTAAGATATCAAATTGTTATTATTATTATTATTATTATTATTATTATATTTTTATTTCTTCCGAGTCAGTTGCGCCAGTTATTTTATGCGCACTCGAAAGTAAACTAAAAGAATTCCGTTAAAGCGAAAATGATGAATTGTTTCAGTTCTTTAAGCGTGCCCACATTGGGTGAAATGGAACAAATTATATGCATGTTGGAAAGGGGTACCATTGTAACTAAATTGTATAATAAGCAAAGACGACCTGAACAGAGACGTCTAATTTTGGTTCGCGAAACTCGCCAATTATTATGGTCACCAGCTACTGCAAATACGCGTATAGAACATGAAGGTTCTTTAGAGTTACGAGAAATTAAGGAAATACGGGTGGGAAAGAACTCCAAGGAATTTCGAAATTGCCCAGACGAGGCTAAACGGTTTGAACCTGGAAAATGTTTCGTGGTCTTGCATGGCAGCTCATTTAAGTTGAAGACCTTCTCAGTTGTAGCCTTTTCGGAGCAAGAGGCAGAAAACTGGGTGAAGGGTTTACGTTATATGGTACAGGATACAATAAATGCTCCATATCCATTGCAGGTGGAACGCTGGTTAAGACGTGAGTATTATTCTATAGAGAATTCTAGCTGCCAAACAACCAAAGAGAACGGTCAGGTCACAATCAAAGACTTTAAAGCATTTTTGGCCAGTGTAAGCTGTAAAATGACAACCTCAAAGTTAATGGATTGCTTCACTGAAGATGATATTAGGCGGAAAAATGATTTGCGTTTTGATGATTTTGCTCGACTTTACCGTAAACTTTTACAACCACCCGGATTTCTTGAAGACCTTGTCCACAATTCGCCAATTAGCGAATTTGATTATTCTAAAGATGGCCTTACGGTAAGTTTGAAGGAGTTTCAGCGTTTCCTTACGCAAGAGCAGCACGACGCCATGGGACGCGATGATCATACGGCCTCCAGTTTTATACGTGATTTCATTGAAGATATAGAACGCGATATACGCGAACCTTATTTTACGATGGAAGAGTTTCTAGATTATCTTTTTTCCAAGCACAATGACTTGTGGGATAGAAAATGCGATCGTGTTTACATGGATATGAAACAACCCATGTCAGCATATTGGATAGCTTCGTCACATAACACTTACTTAACGGGCGATCAATTCTCATCAGAAAGTTCTTGTGAAGCTTATGTTCGCGCTTTACGTATGGGTTGCAGATGTATAGAACTTGACTGTTGGAATGGTCCAGATAATTTGCCATATATTTTTCATGGCCACACTATAACATCGAAAATTAAATTTAAAGATGTCATTAAAACGATTAAAACACATGCATTTATTACTTCGGAATATCCCGTGATATTATCTATTGAACAGAATTGCTCGTTGGAACAACAACGTAATATGGCTCAAGCTCTTACCGAAGTATTTGGCGATATGTTATTGACACAACACTGTGATCGATCGGAAACGCAATTACCCTCTCCCCATCAACTAAGGCGTAAAGTTATACTGAAACATAAAAAAATACCGGAGTTTGAAGACAATGCTAGTATAACGTCGAATACGGCTACCTCGACCGTAAGCATTGGATCAAGCGGTAGCCGAGGTTCTATCAGTGGTCCCAGTGATGACCAAGATAGCGTACGCAACATATTAAAGGAAGGCATGATGTATTTTAAAGATCCTGTTGATAAAACTTGGAATATTTATCATTTTGTCTTAACTCAACAAGAGTTAATTTATTCTTCGGAAATAGATGAAAATCGTTCCGCAGCCGGTGATGATGATGACAACGTCGTACAACGCAATTCCTGTAATGCATTAATACCAAAAGGTAAAGAGAATTTGGTTAACGACGAACTTCATTTTGGGGAGAATTGGTTTCATGGTAAATTGGAAGGTAACTTACTTCATTAAAACATTTTTTTATTAAAAAAATTCTAAGCATTGTTACGTTTTGTAGGTGGCCGCCATGAAGCCGATCAATTATTAGAAGCTTATAAACATCTAGGGGATGGAACATTTTTGGTAAGAGAATCAGCAACATTTGTGGGTGACTATAGCCTATCATTTTGGCGGCGCAATCGTCCCAATCATTGCCGTATCAAACTGAAGCATGAAAATGGCTCAACAAAATATTATTTGGTGGATAATTTTGTGTTTGATTCTTTATATTCTTTAATTGTATACTATCGTAAAAATATGCTACGTGGCTCAGAATTTTCTATTATTCTCAAGGAACCTGTGCCGCAACCGAAAAAGCATGAATCACAAGAATGGTTTCATCCACATACCACTAAAGAACAAGCCGAACAAGTTCTAATTAAATTAGACGTAGGCTCTTTCTTGGTAAGGCCGTCAGTTCAAAATACAGATGCTTTCGTCATTTCATTTACTATAAATCGTAAAATTAAACATTGCCGAATTTTACAAGAAGGCCGTTTGTTTGTGGTGGACGCTAATCAATTTGAGTCTTTAATATTGCTTGTTAAATATTATATGCGTAATCCGTTATATCGCAACGTAAAACTTATATATCCAGTGTCTCAAGAGATATTAAAACAAAAGCTTTCAGCTTGTCAAGTGTCATTAGATCATACTGGTAACAATGGGGATTTCAATGATGCGTCCAGTTATATGGATCCTAGTTTAGAGGATCGCGTCACTTGTAAGGCTTTATATAGTTATAAAGCTGAAAATCCAGATGAATTATCATTTCCCAAACACGCGATTATTACTAATGTGCAGCGTAATAACACTATGTGGTGGAAAGGCGATTACGGTGGCATGAAACAGCGTCATTTACCGGCCAATTATGTGAAGGTAATACTGTTTGGTGTTACTATGTACTATGAATCTCGTAATTACTATGTACTTTTTAGATTATTGACTCATCGGGCGACGATTATAATAGTTTTACTGATGACTTTAATTCGGAGCAATTTTCTCGCACTGATTCTATTGAGATTCACGGAGCAGTGGCATCATTATTTGAATCCAACGAACCGGGTATAGGATTAATGTTACAAATCCAAACACCTACCATGCAGAATACTTTCGTAATAGGTTTCGATAAGGAGGAACTTGCATTCGAATGGGTTCAAGCTATACAAGACGCGGCTGTAATTGCCAATCAATTGGACTCTGAAAGGCGCAAAAAAGAGCGCTCCGCTCGTGTGGCCAAAGAAATGTCCGACTTAATTATATACTTTCGCAGTGTTCCATTTCGGGAACATTCATGGGTTTTCTATGAAATGTCTAGCTTTCCTGAAACTAAAGCGGAAAAACAATTTTTACAACAAAACACCGCACTTTTCTTGGCCTATCATCGTAATCAAATTACTCGGGTTTATCCCAAGGGTCAACGTCTGGATTCTTCCAATTTTAATCCAGTTCCGTTTTGGAATGTAGGCTCACAAATGATTGCTTTAAACTATCAGACAGGTGATAAGGCCATGCAATTAAATCAAGCGAAATTTCGTGATAATGGTCAATGCGGTTACCTTTTGAAGCCGAAATTTATGCAAACCGATGGCTTCGATCCAAATAATCCGGCAACAATTAGTCTTTTAGAAGCCAAAATAGTTACTATACGTATTATAGCAGCTCGGCACTTATTTCGTTGCGGTAAATGCAGCAATCCTCTTGTCGTGGTCGAGGTTACTGGCGCCAATTTTGATACAGGTGTAAAACATCGTACAAAAGCATCTGAGAACGGTTTCAATCCCATATGGAATGAGACCTGCGAATTCTCTATACGGAATCCGTATTTCGCTCTTTTGCGTTTCGAAGTTCAAGATGAAGACATTTTCGCCGAAACACATTTTATCGCACAGGCGTGCTATGCATTAAACTGTTTACGTTCAGGGTATCGTAGTGTTATTTTGCGTAACAAATTCAGCGAAGAATACGAATTAGCTTCACTGCTTATCCATATTGATATAAAACAGATACCGCCTAATGAAACACCAGCAGTTTTAAATTTTTAGAAAAATTTCATATAAATATTAAAAAAAGGAGAAGACTAAAAAAATTTGACAAAAAAAAAGAGAAAGCTTTAATAATCCATATACGTATATATTGTTTCTATTTCATATTGCTTCCAAATTTACAAACTCTTATAAGCATATCTTAATAACACTTACCTATAATATGAAGACTTATTGTTGTGCGTTTGAAATTGTAAATGTAGGTTAGGTTTTATTTTTATTATAATATTTGTTTAGCAAAATTAAAAAAAAAAAAATTTGTAAACGCAATACTTTCATTTAATTATATAATTACAACGGTGTGTTTGTTTATTTATAAAATTATCATTGTGTGCATGTGTACCTAATTTTGAAATGTCGAAAATGTTTAACAATATTTTTACAAAATAAAAAACTTAAACTAATTATAATTTTTCATCGTTGGCGATGTCTTTAAAATTTTTCTTCAAATGCAAGCGTTTGATATCGACGTCATTCCAACTAATTCCAATATGATGCATCTGCACGCGTCCGGTTAGCATCTTGAAAAGCAAACGTAACAGGCGGATCGCAGAAGAGATCAGATACATATATGATTATAAGGAACCGATTATTGACCATTCGACGGCAATTAAGGACGAGCAAAGGAAATTCAATTTGTTGACACTAAAGTGTAAAATAAAATAAAAATTAGTGATTGTTGGATAATTGAATAAGCCCATTCGTTAAATTGACTTGTGACTGAATCAAATTCTTGAGATCGTCAATATGTCAACTATAAGACGGCAGATAGAAGAGACGATTTCATCTAATCAGAATATTAGATTAATTGAAAACAGATATCAACCAAAACAACCAATATGCATGCATGTTCAACTATAATTCTTTTATGATAGTTTTTTTCTCTTTTTTTTTTTTTGTCGCAAGTTTCTTGCTTCCAGATGAAATATTTAGTTTATTAGTCACTCGCATAAGATTTTCTTTGGGCCGCGAACAGGAAAAGTTATGATATTTTTTTCGTAATTACACCCTTGAAAAAAACCTTGGACCAGTTGGTATCAGATTTTAATTCTTTTAATGTTCGTCATACATCAAAGATTCATTTATTCAATGTATATTGTTTATCGCATCTTGCACATCCTATATACTCTAAATATTATATTGTTTTGTAATTTGTCAGAGAGGACTATATAAATTGAATACTATGTATACGCTCTGATCTATTTGTATTTTATTTTTATAACTAGATATGCCTTTGAACGTAACGTTCTTTATGTCTATAAATGTAGGAAGGACGGACAGATATGCCTAAATCGTTTCTTCTCGTCTATCTCGTCTATCCTAGTTAAAGAAAATATGCATCTGGCATATAAATTATTTATAAAATCCAAGAATAGAATAATTACATTAACTACTGTTATCAATTTACTACTAATATTATACAAGTAATGGCAGCTCTGATTATATTATTTATACCGTAATTTATGTGAAAAGTAACTAAGCTATAAAATTGATAATAAGTCTTAGTAAAAAAATAAAAAAAAATAAAAAAAAACATTTATTATTTGTTTATATTACTAACATTTCACAATTGGCATTTTTAATTGACAACTACATCCTGAGAAGGTTAATATCCTCCATTAACTCATTACAATTAAAATTCACAAGCGTAGTAAGTTATTCGGTAAGTTATTAAAACTTCGTGTTTAAATTAAAAAAAATAGAAAATTTTTCAAATTTAAGCTACGCAAAAAAACAATAAGTCTCAGCGTTTACGTACATATATGCATTATATTTCTTTCTCTATTTACTTATTGTTTTGATTTTCTTTCTTACATTATGAAATCGCTATCTACGAAACTCGGTACAGAAAAGTACATTTGCTAGCGCACAAAGAAGAAACTGCAAGTCGAGATTAAAGTATTAAGTGAGATTGCTGCTTACGTGTTAAATAACAAATGTTGAAAAACAACAAATAATAATTAAATTATAAAAATATATATATATAATAAACACAAGGGTAAAAGGTAACCAAACAAATTGCTTCATAGGCAGTTGCTCATCAGCGAAAGTAACGAAAGGTTGAGAACCACCACAAGAAAAATACGAGTTTGGAAATCATAAAAGAAATAAATCAACTAATACATAAGACAAAAAATAAAAAAAAATAAATAAAAAAAGGAAAGAATTATAATCCATTTCATACACATACACGCAACGAATACTCAGGGAACGACTAGATTAGTCAATAATGGCTATTGGAAACAAAAACTTCATTGTAACGCTGATATGTTTTGTCAGTGTAGCCAAAGCTACTTCACAACTTAAATCTCTTGTGGATAAACTTGATGAAGGAGGTATAAATGTTGATCAATTCAAAAATCAATTCCCAGCCGAATTTCCAAAAGGAAATTTCTCAATGGAAAATGCAAAGGATATGGTCAAAGATAAATGCATTAAAGAATTAGGGCAAGAGAAAGGAACCAAAGCTTATCAGGAAATTGAATCAGCCACTTTATCATTAGGCGAATGTATTACTGGCATATTCAATTACAGTGCCATGCAGGAAGAAATTGCCGAAGCATCTCCTAAAGGCGAACTAGATGTAGTGTTCAACAAGTATTGTGCCAAACAACCGGACTTAGTTATATGTATGGAAAATTTTAATCAAAAACTTGTACCTTGCCTCGATAAGGATGAACGTGAAAGTCAAGATGTCTTTATGCGTATGGTGCATAAGTTACTAGAGTTTGTATGCCATAAAGGTGGCGATCAAATTGCATTATTCATAGCTGAAAAAGGTCCTGAATGCTTACAAGCCAATCGTGATGCTATACAAAATTGCTTTAATAACACTTTCGCCAGTTATGTACCAACCGAAGGTTTAGAAACTGTTAAGTCTCTGCCAAAATTAGTATTAAATGCTGAACAATGCGAAGATATTTATCGTTTAGAAACCTGCATTGTACAAAAATTGGAAACATGTGAAGAAATTACACCCGCCAATATTATTGAATCTCTGTTTCGTTTCATGAAAAATGAAACCATTTGCCGTAACAGTGGACCCCATAGACTTGTCAGCGGTAATACGAATACTTTATCAATAAGTTCATCAATCATATTATCCGTTTCGTTATTACAACTTTTAAATATGTATAATCGTTATATGGTATATAACGACTAAAATCAGCTAACTAAACGTGGCTTCATCTTTATATCAGTTCGGACATATATTGAAATGAAAAAAAAAAAAAAAAAAAAAAAAAAATTAAGAACAAAAGAAATTCACAATTATTGTGATTATTTTATATAGATTTTATGGAACAAAAGCTAATTAATACTCGAATTATTTGATGAGTCAAACATAAAAACATAGTTCAACCAAGAAATATCAACATTGCACTATTGAACCTATCAATCGCAATTAATCACAGCCCTATACATATATATATATATATGAACAATGAAATCTATACATATGTGTGGTGTGATTAACTGTAAACACACACTCAATTTGAAGCAATCTTTTAACAGAACAAGCAAATATTTTCTCAGTTGATTTTAACAAAACGCTTACAAGGCAATCAGTTAAAAATTTTGAATGTACTTGGGAAAATTGTTTTCAACTTTGTAACTCATTTTGCATTCTATCCGGAAACTGTATTCAATGGAAGGTATAAGTTATATCTAAAACTAGTTTTTTGTTTATACGTTCATGTAAGAATTTACAATATACATAAACATGTATATAAACATTAGGGAATAACGATATTTAGCAATACAAAGTAAGTTCATTTAAACGGTGTAAAGTTTATTGATAAACATGTTTTTATTTAACTTTTTTTTTTTTTTTTTTTTCTTTTTTCCCTTTATCTGAATTTTTATTTCCCTTAAGTAATTAAATAATCATCATTTTAAGTGCAAAACGTATTTTATAATTCATTTGACGAAACGTTTAGTAAAATTATATTCGAATAAAAACTCTACGGAATAATGGAAATTAATTATTTTTTACTTGAATTTACATGATAATGGAATCATCTTTCTGCGGACATTTTCGAGCTTGCTTACTACCGTACATTTGCTTTTAATAACCTATTGCTCAAGAATATGATGCAAACATCGATTGTGAACATGAAATGGCTGTTACCGGCCGCCATCAATTATTATGATAGAATTCAATTTTTTGAAAAGAAGACCTAAGAACGGCATCAGCGTAACAGTATTATATTTCACATATACATTTAATCAGTTGATTTCTTGAATGGTCCGTTGGAGTTTCTTATAAAATTTCCCCAGCGGTAACTTTTTCGGTTGCCCCGTTTGGCTTTTATGGAAAGAAAAAGTCTGGTTTCCAATGTCCTATGACGGCAACTGAAACTGAAAACTAATAAAACTTTTGAGTAGTAAACTCATTTTGATAAGGGTTGACAAGGTCAACTGTCTGTGATGTTTGGGACATCCTTCAATAAATGGGCTTTCATGAAAAGTACACCTTTGCATGAAGATAGTATGTAAGTTTTGATGCATTATTACCAAAACTGGCCGGTCTTGCACACACACAATGTTATGACTTATTTTTAAAATAAAATTTAGTACGTGCAAAAAACGATACGATTACAAACAAATGTAATTCTCTGGCTTGTTACCTTTTGCAAATGAGATGATTTCTCTGGATGGGTAAGACAGGCGACATGAAATATGAAAAATTACTCTACCGATTGATCGATTGACACAACTATAGTCAAACAGAAACTTGGCATTAATGTTAGAAAAATTAATAATATATATATATAATAATATATATAATATATATATATATATATATATATATATACATATATAAAAATATATATATATATATATATATATATTAAATATAATAAATATATATATATATATTTTATATATATTATTAGAAGAAGAATGCCTTCGAAAATTAAAGTCAAATATAACCTGTGTTCGATTTATTTCATTTTATCATTATACCCCATACGACTTGTTGTGCGAAGATATATTAAGATTGTGCGGATGTATGCAGTACACAGGAGGCCCTCAGATAAACTAAGCTTCTATTGCAGCACACGATTCAAAATCATTTTTGAGTCAATCTAAGCTTTTCTGTCCGTCCGTAAATATTGTTTTCTTGTATTCAACATAGTGGACGCAATTTTAAAGATATTTTGATTAGATTCGAAACACTGACTGTTTTTAACAGAACATTATATATATATATATATAAAGCATTATAACTAAAATCATTGCTTTAATTTTTTTTTGACAAATATATTAAGTTACTTTAGTCGTAAAGCGACCATAGCAGTGATCCGATAGATTGGTGCCTCTTATAGCAATTTATTAAATTAAACCCATTTTACATGCGCAATGTCAACTGGTTGTTGCGCTGGGCCAATAAATTCGTTTAATTTTCTATGCTACGAATTGTCGCTTGAACGAAATTAAATTAAATTGAGACTTAATTGTACGTTAGCAGAAACATTGACAAAATGCGGAGAAATAGGCGGAAAGGGGTGGAAATCTTTCGAAAGCGTATCAAACTTTGCCAATTTTAGCTCTGTCAACAAACACTATATATATATAGTATGAGTGAAAGCTGACAATTCCTAGATAGTTATATGAAATAGTAAAAAAAAAAAAAAAAATACTAACCCTTCATATTTATTAATTCTTTCAAATATATGTGTGAATGAATGCGCTATATATTATAAGACAAATTTGACCAATGCGATATTGTTTCGCAGGCGTGTAAAAAAAATTCATGATATTTATCAAAAAAAGATTTGATTGTTTCTGTTATGAAAATTTCGATATTAGAGACGCTCCGCGTTCTAATCAACTGAATGTCGATAAAGTTTATGAAATTCTAAGACTAATAAGATTAGTACTGGGTACTACTCGAACGAACATTAGAACGGCCAAATTTGATGGAATGAATTTCTATTTGCGAATTGCTGCTGAAGCGAAACGTGACCAAACCATTCTTGAAGAGATCAATAACGAGCAATGCAATGGCTGAGCGGTTCAACGTCGATTAAGTTAGACAAACGATGACGTAGCTCAAATTGACATCACTTTTTCTGGGTTTGAATTGACCAGGGAATCGTGTGCGGTCGATTGCTCTCAACTCGTGCCTATACTACTACTTGATTTCATTGCTCAATGTCAGCGAATAATGCGACTAATTCATATGACTGAGATACAATCTTCAGGATTAATTAATTAATCGGAAAGGTGTCATCTTTCATCGCGACAATACCAGACAACACATATTGTTTATTGATCTCGCATTCAATCATAACTAATGTATTACTCACAACATATATAATACGATATCATATACGATGTATGGATTTATGGATACATCTCTGTCTTGTTCTTTGTCTTTATTCGGAATTAATTAGAATTCATTTATATTCATTGAAAACGAAGTATCGTTCACTCTCGTAGAAATATTGACGCGTGATTTTCATCATCGTACGAGTTGTTCCCGAACTGATTTAGCTACGCAAGTCGGACCGTTTGTCCGCGTATTGTGGAAACGCTTAAGGCGGAAAGAGTTGAGATAAAACACACTGCAATTGAGAGCATCTAGGATTTTTTAATAAAAAATTAAAAATGCAAGTGAAATTTGTTAGCAACTTTTAGTTTTACACCTTTAAAAAAGTCGTTGAGAGAGCGAAACAATAGCTAGCCGAACAAGCTAATGCCCACGGATTACGTAAAAAATGATTTTAAATGTCCAGGTAATAATATTGAGCATTTAAGAAAAAAAAAAAAAAGTAGTATGTAGACTTTTGGCAACAATATGATTTTATTAGTGAAATTATTGTAGACGTAAATAAACGGTTATGTATTCATTTTACTTCTTAGTATAGGCATTTTCATATTATTTATGAATGTTATATAGCAAAACAATTGCGACTTTTTATAGTGACACAAAGCAATTTTGCATTTGATTCACTCAGTCCGTGCGAATCTTTTGCAATCTGATTGTTTCTATCTATTTTTAGAGCTGCCACCTTTTCCCATTATAGCCTATGTCGTCGATCCATTTACCTTTTATCGGGACCGGTTTCGTGGGACGTCGGTGTTTTTCCTTTCTTGATTACTGGCGCTTCCTCTTTCATTCCTATCATACTTTTCTAAATCTCTGCAAGCTCTCATCGATAATCACCTAATGCTGTTTTTTTCTTTGTATAATACGCATGTATTGATCACTACCATATCAATCATGCGATAACATAATCGAATATATGACTTGCGACTTTTCCATTCTGATCCTATATCTACCCAAAATGCTGTTATAAGTAAGTGTATGAGAATAGTGAACACAAAATGAACAATTTGATATCCTATTAGGATTTATTGGGTAAGTATAGTTTCGTACCACCTTAATCAAATACATTTGCTCTCTGATCGAATAGTGCCACACTCGTAAACCATTTATTCAATTATTCCACAACAGGCCTTATTGAGACGAGTCATTGAAATGAGTTACGGATCTTTCTTTCTCCAATCTATTTATCCTTATCGTCTGTTGTAGATAATCGAAGCTATATTTATCCCAATTGGATCTAACGTTTGGATAGTTGTACACGGACATCAATGTGATGAGCAAGTGCATGTAGTCGAGTGCATGTTTCGTATGAAACGTATGCGTTCTTCATTCTATTTCAAATTGTGCCTTTTTCCATACATGTTCACTACTTCGTTGCCTCGAAGCAAAAAAGTATAGCTAAGGGAGGATCTTCAATCTCTAATTCCTCATCATCATCATCATCATCATCATCATCATTATTGTTCTCTATATCCTGTTCGCCTTCAGAAATATTTCCTTTTTCAAGGCTGGTAAAACTTTATACATGTGTATTTGGGTGTTCCCTTTCTTTGGAATTTGGTTTCTTAGACGCCATGGACTAGCTTTCATGAAAACTCAAATCATGAAATGTTAGATTTTCGTCACATTACTTATATGAAAACCGTATAATGTAGACAATTGGACACATTACAATGTACAGTACAATGTTTCTCACAAAATGCAATATTAAACATTGATAGCGTACATAACAATAGATGATAAGTTATTTTTTATTTATTTATTTTTTTTTTTTGTAATTAGATAAATCAATCCTTTATAGTAAATTTGAAAAAAGAAACACATATATCTCTCCAAGTAACACATTCAGCTTCCAGCGTCCAAATGTATGCATCAGCGGCCGCAAAGAGCTCTTAATCAACCAATAAGATGTAAATATCTGTGTTAGCAACATATCGCCAACTATCATTTTTTGTGCATACGGATTTTCATTAATGGCATCTCTCTCTCTCTCTCTATCTCTCTCTCTCTCTCTCTCTCTCTATCTCTCTCAATGAAATTCGATTCTTTTCGGCCAATTTCGTGGCAACGTAAGCCATTTGCTCTGCGAAAGCGTATATCTATCTCAGAGATCTTCAATTCCTTCAATTGATTTGTAAACGATAAAACTTATATCGTGACATAACCTTAAAATAAACAAACGAAAACACGACACCAATATATCCACAAAATGCTGGATAATGCTAGAGTTATTTGAAATATGCGATAAAGAGACAATACTTTCTTCTTACATGTTATTATTATTATTATTATTACTATTCATCTTTATTCACAGAAAATCGTACCAAACGAAGACTACAGTTAGTGTAATTTTCAAATCGAATTAAATTACATCACACATACACTAATATAGCATAAGAGAATATTCGTATAAGCTTCAATTACATGCAAATGCATGTAAATTCTCTAAATAATGTAATGCATATATATATATATATATATATAATATGTATGTATGTATGTATGTATGTAGATACTGTGTTGGTTAGTTAAAAATACTTTTCACTTAATGGCAACCACAACTTTTGACGATCATATTTTTATATTTTTTTAAATTAACATTTTCCTCATTTAGATGATAGAGAACGGGTAGTGCACCTAAACGCGTTGGAGCACAACATGGCTTGGGTACTTTTTTCGGTTCAAGTAAATGAACCAATGTTTGCACAATCGCATGATTTGTCGCATTCATGTGGGCATTTAATGGGAAATTGCATTCACCGCTGCAATAGAAGGCGCCATAGCCATCGGGTGCTATAATCCAATCCTGGAAAAATTTTTATACGTGGAGGATTGATTAAGAAATGAATAAGAGAGAAAAGAATTATATGTTAACAACAACAACAACAACACTTACATGCCAACCTAAATCTCTAAAATTAATATAAAGAGTTTGCATTTGGCAACTGCGTATGCTATCGCTAGGCCCGTCGAACAATGGATTAACCATGTCAGATTTTTTACGGCGACGTGAATGCACATTACGCTTTCGGCGACTATGACGCTGAGTACTTTTGATTAACTATATAAAAAAAAAAAAAACAAAAACAAAAAAAAATTATTTTAATAAAATTTATTTAACATATATATATATACACATATACGTAGGCGTATATAAAGTATAATTACATCGGGACCTTTGAAGAAGCCAATCATAAACGGTTGATATTCATCTTCGCTTTTGGAATGAATTAGACCGATATCGTCAAGTTTAATTTCTCTTTCCGGCTTATTAATCTCATGGGCTCCTATATAAAAACCACTATTCTCTTTGGGACGTAGAAGCCATGTATCCAAAGCTTCGGTGACATTGAATTCTAACCAGCCTTGATAATCGGCTGTGGTATTCAATTGAGAGAGCGGCTGCAAGCGACGTCCGTGACCATTGTGTTTAACAATTGTGTACACCGTTAGGGTGAATTTTTTGTCTGTCGTCAACCATTTACCATGCATAGGATTCTGATACATACGCAATTCAGCCATCGTTAAATAATTATCATTAGGTACGTCAGCAACATCAAACCACAATCGCCGACCATGTTCATGACGCACCTCATCGACATGGTGGTCTAAGATAAAAAACAAGAAAACAAAAAAAAAACAAAAAAAACAGACAATCAAATAAAAAATAATTTATTTCAGTTTTAAGCAGAAAACAAAGATCGTGACGTTGCGCATGGCGCTTTCTAGGCAGTTATTTCAGGTAAGTCTTTGTATATGTAAGCGAAGCGAAACATGAATGCATGCATGCCGTATAAAGAGTGTGTGTATATGTTTAGCGTGTGTGTGTGTGTGCTAAGGCTAAACCACTTATAAGGGTACCAGAGAATATGCTAAAAACCGGATTGTTTTCAATTCTACCCTAATGTCAAAATAAAGGTATTCGCGTTTACACACATCTATACATATACAAATTTTTCTAAAACTTAGTTTTGTGATATTGTGGTCAGGTATAAAAACATCAATTTAGAGACTTAACAAAAAGGAAAAAAAAAAAAAAAAAAATGCGGCTCTGCATTAACACGAAAATACCTTTCATGATAGAAAAACAAAAGGGATCGATCATCAGTATCTGGAAGTCGCAATCAAATATTTCATACGAATTATTTTTTATTACAAAAGGGAGAAACATTCTGACACACGGTCGAAGAATGCAGAACGTAACACAAAGGGTCGTAGATTAAAGCCCTTCGGCATCCGTTTCATTTGCTTACAACATAAGAGATATTTCGAAATAGTTACAAATACCTTAAGTGAACAATGCATACAGATGTCTCTACCTGTTCTAAATAGTGAAGACTTAACCCCGATGGATTCCCGATGGAACGCAGAATATATAGAAGCGAGAAGTTCAGCGCCTCGACGTTAACATTACCCGCATAATGGCATACTCTTTGCCGCGAGGGTAATTAGATCACAGAGTGCCAAACACACATACATAAAGAGACATATCCTCCGTTTTGGTGAGAGCTAGACACTATCTAAAACGTCTGCCTTCCTTTGAGGTTAGTATGCAACTCCACGCCAAGCAAAAGCTTTTCCCGCTTTTTGGATTTAATCACAGCCATCATGAAACTTCCACAATGAGCCGTTTTTGTTGCCAGACGGAAGCAGGAAGATTGCTTCGGGAATACCGGACACTCGCGGTATCACGGAGTAAGTGATGAAGAAGACGTGAAGAATGAAAGCCTCAGGGCAATGCACATAAACATTGTACTCTCCCTGGACGGGGCAATGAGTGCAGTTCAATTGAAAAGAAAAAAAAAAAAAACTATGGATATCGCTGTGGCTCGATCGATCGTTTAGGCAACACCGATATCTATGTGGGTGCAATTTTACATCGATAGATACTTTTCACAAACTAAGTCTTTAAAAATTTTATTTTGAAAATGGCATTTTTCTAATTAACCTAAGATGTTTAGCAATTGCAGGTGTGCTTCTGAACACATCAGGCCTACTTTTAAAATTAATTTGCAGTCAATCGTTAATCATCGATGTCTTATGCTTTAACTTTCTATCTCTTCGAAATTTTAAGGCCGTAAGGAACCGAAAGGCATAGCCAAAACGATAGACAGACATATTGAACTTGTTATGCCGATTCGGATTTATCAGAAGATATAATGACAAGGACAAGATGTTCGAACTTCTTTTCGGAATAGAGAAAGAAATTGAATTAATAGACGAACATATAAACGCTACCGTAACTGTAACAAGAAAAATGATCAGTGAGCCGTCGTGGCATCTTAAACGTAGATTCACTCATAAATAAACTTAAATAGACTTGACTAAGTTTACAATAGATTAGCTTGCGCTTAGTAAAAGCATAAAACTGAATAAAACGAGACTATACGTTATGGATTGTTTGCCAGGCGATCACTCTATCAGATTATTTCCCGAGAACTTCTCTATTTATAACTTTATCGCATATGAGCGACGAAGGCAAATAGAGATTATAATTAACGCGATTCTGAGCTCCCTACAGGAACGTTAAAGTCAAACTCCTGCAGTAAGCAAGAGAATACGATTTTTCCTTCTATAAGCTTTTTTAGGATCAAAATATCCGCCTGAATGGCCGAATAGGCAAGAGTCTCGACTAGCAACTCAATGGTCTTAAGTGCGGTCGAGTTTTTAATAAAAACCGAAAGCCTTAGATGCTAGTGCTTTTTAAGACTTTATTTAGTCTTAGAATTTATTCTCTGGCTAAATTTATAATAATAATAATAATAATAGGATCAAAATATTTAGCTTCAACCTCTTTTTCGCTACAGACGGTAGATGAATTAAGAATAGCTTGATTTCATTCGAAGCAAATATTACGTTTGGATCCCATTCAAGATTACGTAATGCGAACAAGACTCAAGTTTTTAAGAGTAGCAAAGGAATAGTAACGAAACGATTAAGCTATCGCGGCATAGTCTAAGCATGACCTGTGCACCAGTGACGTACGCCACTCTTCAATTATATATATTAATATATGTCTCGCCGAATTCTCTAGACTATCGCCTATAAAAAAAGTTTTTATAAAACCTAGAGGAGGCGGTCTTCCTTCGCTGAATATGTAGATTGGCCGATATGTAGATTATATAAACCTATCGTCCCCGTAAAGTCGCTTACAATTTTAATCTAATTTCAAACAATCACTAAAGTATGCTTTCACAAAGGCTGTCTAACAAACTTTCAACGCATAAGAGGAGCTACTGCTACACTGCTGTTGTCTTCTTTAATATAACCAAAGTCAAATATATAATTTTGGCTACGAAATTCAAACGAAAAAGACCTATGAATATTCTTTTCGTTAAAGCAGTATAAAGGTAAATACGAAATTCTTTAAATTAATATAATATTAAGAAAACAACTTACTTTTATTTAAAAACGTCATAATTATATCATTTTGTTCGATGGCTTTCTTATCGAGATCTGTGATAAAGTTCTCTTCTTCCTGCAGATCACGTTTCGATCGCACTGATGCTATTAAATCATCATTTTCCTCCTCCTTAAGCCGATGATATACATCCAGCAGATACTGTGGTGCCGATTTACTGAAATATTTATAATAAATTTCATCAGATTATTTTCTATTCCATTTAAAATGAAAATCTTCGAAATTTCAAAATACATAGATATTGCATCGATGTGCAAGAAAGAAATTTGTTTTCACTTTCGAGTTGAGTTTATACTACTGTTTGCTGCATAAACGCAAAAGAAAAAGAGAGAGGCAAAGAGAGAGGGAGACCGCGAATGAAAGAGGGAAAATGAGAAATAAAGAGAAACACATTTCTTTTTTGCCAACCTAATATGTAAACTGTTGTCGCACTCCTAACGCGTGAAAATAGAAAACGTTTTAATATACGCAGAAGTACCGCCGCCTAGTAGTGGTTACACTCCGTTACACTCTATCTCTTTCTCTATCCCTATTTCTTTCTGACCCATTTAGCGAATTTTCCCTGAATGATTGGTTGTTTTAAGAAATAAACAAAAAAAAAAAAAAAAAAAAAAATCTAGACCGGAGAATGGAAAGCCCGCATTTTGTTCCTTTTTCTCCAGTCATTGACTTCATTCGCTAATCAAGACCTGCTGCTAACGGCTGATCAATATCCATTTTCTAATCCCCGGTATAAACTGATAGTCGTTTAACGGCCGCTTCGCGTTATATTGATTAGTAAAATTTTAATTTAAATATCTCCGCGTTTGTTCGCCGCTTCGCACAAACAACAATTGTTTAAAGTTGCTTTGGAGATATGAAAAGGATTTTTTTCATCCGATATGTGATAAAGAATGAGATATGGATTCATCACTACACTCTAGAGTCAAATCGCTAGCTAGGCGAAGGGACAAAACAATCGGACGCAGAAAAATTGGTTACAAAGGTATTATAAAAGACATCCGAACTTTGGTATAAGGAACCAGAGATCTCTACTGCATATTAACTAGCATTATTAATGCATTTTATTAAGGGTCTCGATCCTATGATATTATTGAATCATATATTATATGCATTTGTATATACTTGTATATACAACGAAATTATCATTTATGTACATAAATGAACATTCGATAGATTATATGGAAGAATAGTTTACGTAAAATGAATAGCGCACAGCGAAAGCGTATAATGATCTACGTTCCAATCATTTGCCAAAATTTAAGCTGATTGACTGTGACTGACTGACAATGAAAGCTCGTACATTCTGATCACTTGCGGATATTTAAGCTTATACTGATTGACTTGATCACTTCAAAATATCTTCTTGAAAGTATAATATGATCAATTAGTTGGAACTGAAAAAAAAGTCATTTTATATATAAATGCGAAATGTTATCATTTTCGGATCTTTTTTGATTTTAACATCATCTGTATATATATATATATATATATATATATGTGTGTGTGTGTGTTAAGTAATTGAAACAAAAAATTCATCATATAGTAAAAGCAATTCCCATAGATAAAAAGAGTTCTTTCCACATAATATATAAATAGAGCGTAGAGAGTAATGTTGAGACTGAAAGAAGAAAAAAAAAATATCATCTTTTCTTATTAACGTAGATAATCTAATAACATAAAATGTATGTAATATATTTTTGAGAAAATTTAATAATATAAATATTTGAATAGTTTATTTTTTGTTTCCTGCTTCTTAAGCATATCTAGTTTTTCTAAGGGACTTTACAGATTACTTGCAACATGCGTTGTGTCATGTTCATTTAAAAGCGTTTCCAAAAGAGAAAAAAAAAAAATACATTCATCATGCTCAACTTTAACCGAGATATGAGGCTGAGACGAACGTCGCGAAAGTTTCAATCCTTTTATCGAGAAGGGGCAAAGTTTTTAGAGATTGTCATGAATTCGTCTATAGAATTATATATTTTCCTGTCGTTTCCTCATCATTTAACCTGTAACATGTAAAATGCGAAAGGTGCGATTCTGCTTTTGACGAATGCAGCAAAAGACGCACTTTCCTGGAGAGAAAATGAAGAAAAAAAAGGAATGTTTATAGCGCTCAGATTGCAGACTAACAAAAAAAAAAAAAAAAAAAAAAAAATTTATTGCCATAAAAATGGTTGGCTAGAACAACCTTAAAAACGTTACCAGAGTTTTTCAATGAACATAACGCAAATAAATTTCATTTTTCTCATTCGAATCTCGTATCTTGAAAGCAACCTTCTCTCGCGAATCACATAGATTCCGCTTTTTGATAGAGAATCGAATATTATTAATAATTGCAAACCCTACAGGCCACTATATCTTATCGCCATATAATGACTTTTCAAAATAAGAGCTTATGTGGAGAGTGGTCGAAAAAGTGAACAAAACCGAATCGTATTCAATAGAATTCGTCCTTGGATCAAAACACGTCGGTGTACAAAATTTCATCAAAATATCTCAAAAATTGAGATTTGTAAGTTGAGCATAAGAAAACAAGACGGATAGACGGACAAAAGGGCAGAAAGACTGACAAATTTTAAAAGCATTTTCTGAAATGATCGCTATAATACAACTTGGATATATTTGAAATTCTCGTGAACGTCACATATGTCCGCACAAATTTAATATAACGTTGGTCCAGAAGTGCTATAGGGTATAAAACCTCCTTTATGATTCCCCCGATACAACAATATTGATTAGTTGATATTTTTCCAACGTCAAATTTGGATCAGTTACACTTAATGCGACGGGGCGGCTTAAAAGGCTGCCATTTTCTTTTCCTAGGAGGATCTGTGCCTGACCGGTAAACTGTTAAGATCTTTGAAATAATTTCAAATACAATATGTTATTGAAAAAAAAAAAAGAAGCAACAAATATTCATTTGAATGAACGTTGGCTAAGGTTCACAAAAATATGACGGAAGAGAGTATATAACTAACTGACTCTGATAGATTGATTTCCAGTACAAAATAAATGAATAGGCTTTGGGTCTTTTTCTCAGATCCTTACCTACCACTGCATATATCCGAAAGTTTGTACTTCTTTACAAAAAACTCTCACTCCAAGTTCAAATGATCTTCAGCCTTGGGATCGTTACTCGCGAAATAACAAGATCGCATATAAATAGTAGGTAGTATGTAAGGATGTAGTGGCCTTGATAGCGCTTCTCAGTTAAACGATTTGATTTCAAAACGAATTATTCTATCTTATAAATGTTTTGAAATTTTAAACAAACTAGACATAGATTGAGACAAGAGTCCTAATAAACTGATTGCACTGAATAGATTCGCTTGTACATGTTGTGGTGAATGTGGAATTGTCTGAATTCATTTATTAATACGATTTAGATTAATTTCTATACGATTTCAGGTATCTTGTGTCAGCAAACCTGTTATCTAAGATAAACACTTGTCAAGATCCTCACAGTGTATATAAAAATGTGTATTTCTTTAATAAAAAGATTTCCTTAGTAAAAAGTTAAAGTTTAATAAAAAGTTTTATGTTGTTATCTCTGTCTGTTACGGTTAACGGTGAATTAAAGCAAATCATTTACCGACAATAGATACCCTAGACCTAGACCTAGCCTAGTACAGTTATTCACTCGGTTAACTAATAATACGCACACACATTCCAAAACCATCATATGAAGGTTTTCCATCAAACAAAACAAGAAATTAGACTTTCTCCCCATCAATGGACTTGCTTATCATGATAAGCCTTATATATGTTAGGGTCTTAAAAATCCACCATTCATGATACAGGAACGTATGTAACACGCACAAGGGCTTAAGGTAGACTCACCTTTTAATATACCTGTCAATTCAGTAGCATAATCTCGAATTAATCTAAACCTGTTAGACTGAAGACTGTCCATGTAAATTTGATGTTCAAGCTATAGATCAAAACGTTTGAGATATTTTGATCAAGTTTGATACATTGGCATGCTTTGACCAAAAGACGAATCCTATTAAAAATTGCTAGGATTGGTTCACTTTTTCGATCACTTCCCATATAGCGCTGTATTTCGAAAAATCGCCATAGAACGCGCTCTGTAATACTATTTGCTCAAAATTTAGTTCGGCTGGGGCAATTTTCAATCTTTGGGTCCAGTAGATCTGTTTTTTAGATACCACCACATATAGGAATTCCTTCAATATGCAAACTTTCATGAAAAATATGGCTTTGCATGAAAATAATGTATAAATTTTGGTTTATTATTAGCGAAACAAGTGAATGACTGTATTAAGCGAGATGGTGTGGAGTACCTGATAGTCGGCCTTACCCAATTACAATGCTCTTGTTTGTTTTTCATTCAGAACGTTTGCAATGCCCAGAAGAAAGCTTTAGAGACCGCACCACGTATATATATATATATACATATATATTCTTGAGTAGCATCAAATTATAAATCGATTTAAGCATGTCCGTCCGTCCGTCCATCCTTTTGTCTGTGTGTGTCTGTCCATCTGTGTAATGTCTGGTGTAAGCATTCTCCTGGTCGCGAAACTCAAGCTATCGACTTCAAATTCGGCAGAAACATTAGAAGTTGTTGCATGCACGTTGGTATTGAAAATGAGCCGAATCGATGGAAAGACGCGTCCACAGCATCACGTAACCCGAGAACACCTTGGTTTTTCAAAAGGAATAGAAAATTGCCATTTTTACTTCTTACACATTATATTGCGGATAAATGTACAAGAATTTGAGTGCGAATTCTAGGGGTGATGCAGAAACAATTCCCCAAAATCCCACAAAGTATATAAGTTCTTAGCCAGTTTCAAATTTGGAATGCACTCAAACATGTCCGTCTGTTTATCTGCTTAACTATGTAGCATCTGTGGTAAACATTATCCCGTTAATAGGACCCAAACCGGGCAAAGTGCACGTCGGCAACGTCCACATGCCTATGCAAAAAAAAAACTGTGAACACGTACGCTCTTCGTGTTTTTCGCAAAGTTACTCATAAAGTACTTCCCTTTTTTATTACGAAAATAGAAAACATTTTTAACCACTCCCACTCTATATATTAGAGAATGAAAATCTAGTTCTTTTTCTTTTTACCCTTTTTTAGAACCACGATGATGGATGTAAAAGATTCGGTCACGATCGAATATAATTTTCTTAACTGTTTTCTTATTTATTTACTATTATTATCATCAGTATTCAAATGATGTTAAGCCAATGGTTCTTGCATGGTACTGGCAGACAGTTGCACAAACAAGTTTTTAAGTTTTAATTTATTGATAAAAGTGAAAAAACAATTTTCTTATTTATAATTGTGTGTAAATTCATTGCTAAGATGATGAAAATTGAAAATGTATATTATATCTTCGGGCTCTATATGTAAATCAAATATTCTGGACTTGAAGTATCGTTCCATTTTAATCAATTGTTTTCAAACTAATCGACAAAGAAAAAACAAACTGAAAACTAAGCATATTTCAAGCCATATAGTGATAGAGATCCACCAAAAAAAAAAAAACCAAATCATTTTCAATTATTAAAAATTTTAAAATGTATATCATATATTCGGACAATAGTTAAACTAATTGAAAATTTCAATAATATTTTTAAATATAAATAATAATTTAATTTACCGCAACGATAGATGACCATGCTTCTTACGCGGACGCTCCGATAAACCTAAAAATTCCAATATATCTAAAGATGCTTGAAGTTTTTCATCCTCGTTCAGCATATGTTGCATGACTGTCTGATCGATACCATTATCGATATAAATGCCAGATTGACCGGCAGCAACCAATAGTCCGGTCTGTGAATTCTCGGTGATGAAGCCAAGCAATATGCTTAATACGATCGATAATAATAAGAAATTTTGCCGTAAATTAACAAATAATGACAATAATACATTTAACGTTGCGGTCCCGTTTCTATGCAATGAAAATGACTTTTGAACGGTAAATTTATTGCGACTTAACAACATTTTTATATATTGAGGGAAATAGTTCTTCTTCTTCTTCACAGGTGATGATGGTTATATATAAACGTGGAAATTTTCTTCCTTTTTTTTTTTTATTTTTCCGTTTTCTTCTGGTTGGCTGATTGTAATGAAATATTTAATTTATTATTATTGTTTATATCGTTGTTATTGTTGTAAATATATTTATACCTATATATACCTATATATATATATATATATTTTTTATTTTTTTTATTTTTTTATTTTCGCTTTTATATAAATATTGTTTCGCATTTAACGTTGAGATATTTGTTTATATTTGTTTTGCTTCTTCTTTTTTTTTCGTTGTTGTTGTTTTCTTTTGTAATTTATTTTGCGTACACTTTTCTTGTTGTAGTCATTGCGTGTTTTTGTTTAGAAATTGTAATTATTTATTGTGCATGCTTACATACACACAAAAACATATACATATATATATATATATATATATATATATATGAATTATTTGTTTATTTTTCTCACATTCATACGAACCAGCCAGCAAGCATCGATCAGTTCATATGTTGAAAGATATGTTTAAGAATAATGATCGTACAATGATAATGTTTACAATGCCATGCGGATAATGATAACAACAACAAGAACAATAACAACAATAAAAAATAATAATAATAATGCTATTGGTATTCTTATTGCTTTTGTTATACAAAAAGATAATTAGATGGAGTAATGGATATTTCATATGAAAGATACGAGAACAATGTGTTTACCGGCTTTAATTGACTTCGATTTAGTAATCGACCGGCAACTTTTTTCAAAATATTTAATATCTTTTATAGATTTTTTACACTCTCTCACTTGATTGCCAACGGTTCGGTTTTTTTTTTTTCGCTTTTTCATTTAATTTCATCATTCCATTTATTGAGGTTTAAGTGTTAAGCCTCAGATAAATAATTGATTAGTTTTTTTTTTTGTTGTTGTTGTTGTTCCGAAGATACATCTCTAACCTTAGTAGGGTTGCCGATGGAATCATAAACTATCAGCTCTTAAAGAGAATCTGAAGTCAATGATGATTAAACGCTGACGATGATGATGATGATAATGGCTATGGCACACTCGCGATTAATAAATATGCACAACAGTAATTTTTTTTTATATTGTTGTTGTTTTAAGTTTTCTATAGAAGAAAAAAATAAAAATAAAAAATAGGCGCACAATAGAAAATCAATTAAATGCAAATATTTGATCAAATTGACGATTGGCATATGCATTCATACATATGCACAAATAATTTCGGATTCACAAAGAAACTGATTGTCAGTTATTTAGACGCGCCCATTGATAACAATTGTGGTTCACTTAACTGTTTTATTTTCTTTCTAGTACTATTATTATTATTATTATTATAATTATTCTTACTATTCTTGTTCTTGTTGTTGTTGTTGTTACAATTATAAACTATATAAAGCTTTGTACATTTTTTTATTGTGTATATATATATATATATATATATATATATATATAACTATACATTTAAATATTCATAAAGCGAGAGACATATCCATGTTTGTGCACGTTATTGTTTGTTATCTGGTCTTGAAGAATACCGCATATAAAATATAAACAGGTTTTTGTTTGCTTGCACTTATACGCGCGAACACCAACATGCCTAAAACACTCTTAATAAGAAAATTAACAAAAAAAAAAAAAAAAAAGTCAACAAAAAAGATCTCGTTCTTTATTTTCTTTCAAAAATGATGAAATCCCCCAAAAATTCCTACCATTATTAACTTATGCGTAAACTCATTTCATTTTTTCGTTTTGCTTCGTTAAATACAATTTCGTATTTACGGTTTTAAGCCTTTTGTATATAATAAATATATATATATATATATATATATATATATATATATATATACTTAAGGACACTTTATTAATTAGACGATAATAAAATTTTCAATTAATTCGTTTATTTTTCTTTTTTGTTTTGCTATACATATACATATATACACATATATATATATATATATACGTATATATATATATTTATATATATATATATATATATATAAAACCTCTTCAAATATGAAGAGTGTGTTGCTCTAGCAAAGTTCCAGAAATGACTAAAAGAGAATAAGTTAGGTCTACATTCATAAAACCAACCAGCCATTCTTACTGCTACCAGCACCACCACTACTACTACTACTATTACTACTACTACTGCTCATATAATAGCAATGCACACTAATACGCATTTATCGAGCGTTATTAGTAAATGTATCTTTAAAACTGTAGAATTTTCTGTATTTCTCAAAAAATTACCTATCTACAGAAACAAAATCAACAACAACAATAGAAACAACAATAACAACACAAGAACAATATCTATTACTCGCAATGATCATATTTATGTTTCCACTTGTTACCATCGTTTGGGAGAAATCGTTTAATTTACTCTCTTTTAATATTTCTTTTTATTTTCTCTTTTCTTTTCTTTTCTTTTTTCCTCTCCACTTTAGTTAAAACGCACACATGTCCTTTCATTTACACGCCAGACATGCTTTTCAACTAACGAACGATACGAAACTCTAAAGTTACGGTATTTATTATGTTAACTCAACTATACAACAATGAATTTGTTAAAATAACATAATTGTTATGAAATTCGCATTTCTAAGATAGGATTCTTTCTTATCACTAGATCGTGAATATTCTTTTCAAGAGAACTACACTTTAAAGTTCTTTTATTAACATATTATTATATTCCTTAAGCATAGGATTATAATACAATTTATTTTTGGCAATACTTTCGACAGCTCAACTACAAATATTCTTCTTCTTTTTTTTTTAACTGCTCAATCATCCACAAATATTCTATTTATATATATATATTTACAAGCATATTACTTTATCTAAATTCATGCCTTCATTTTTAATCCGTTAACCCGGTTTTTCGCTAATCGTTTTCATTGGCCGCCAGCACCACCTACATGACCCGCTTGCGAATGTGAACTTGGTTTTTTCCTCTTTAGGCCATCTATTTTATGTGGGAAAATTAATTAGCTGATATGAACCGGATTTGGGATTTCCGTAAGAATATATACCTGTGTCATATGATTGATTATGTTTAGAGCAATTTTTGAAAGAATCGATCGCAATGAATATTTATTGATAAAGATCAGCGAGCCGATTACAAGTTAAACGCAGTTTCTGAACAAATTTCAAATATTTTATATATATATTAGTTTGGGGAAAAAGAAATCCATTATTTTTATATGAATTTCATGACTTTATTTAACATGCATTGTCCGAAAAAATAATGGATTTCTTTTTCCCCAAACTAATATATATATATATATATATATATATATATATATGGAAGGACGGCTTAGATGAGAATAAAACAAAAACTTTATAGAACTTTTGCGAGAAAGATCCTATATCTTGATTCATTTATGAAGGCATTCCAAACTAAAAGAACAATAATTTATAAAAGCGAAAACTTATCAAACAAACTATCGTGTAAATTAAACGTTTAGCGTAATTTTGTCCATTCGAAAATGATGAGAAGATTACCTTTTGCATGTAACGTTAATTTACAATTTTCATGAGAGATGTTTCATTAGTTAATGAGAATATAAAATATATATATATATACAATATATATATATTTGTATACAATAAATAAGAATTGCTTTTCATCCTTTTGTGTTTTTTTTTTTTTTTTCTTGCTTTTAATTATATAAACATTGAGAATGGAATGAATATTTAGCGCCTATGATCATAAAAAAAAAAACAAAAGACAAAGTATGCACACATGCAGTGATCTCAACTTACCTAAAGTTGTAATTGCCTGTAACCGCGCACACACATATATATATATATATATATATATAGACTAGAGTTTTCTTGCCTTCAAACATATGTATGGATGCATGTGTTATCTATTTTCACAAAAAGGCGCCCGCCACTATATCCTATTGAAGTCAATAAATTAGAAAACATTTCGATACAAACACTTGTCTATATAGACACATATTACCGCAATCGAGTCATAAGGGTTCTGTTTTCTTTTATTAGCAGATGAAAAATTTTAAAAGTATACTCAAGTTGGATATGGATATATGGTTTGTTATAAATTATCATAACACATGACCAAGAGAATATAGAAAATTGAGTTTATTATTATATTGACACCACACTAATAGTGCGGTGTGGTGTTCGTTTTCGAAGTTTGAAGAGTTTGACGATCCGTCGCACAAACTCGATCGTTTGCGTGATCGCAAAAGAAAAGCTGAGGAGTGCAAAGAGAGTTGAAGGAGGCATTTTACCAGAGACTGCAACGCGATTCTTACTCTCCTTAGAGGACTAAATAGAAATTGTGCGACGCTATGCAGTTTTTAAGGAGATTTCATAGCATCTAAACAGTCAAGCATGACATTTGGATGAGCATTATATGTATAAACCTCTTGTTCTTGTAGGACGGAGAAAAGTTTGGACATTGAAATTTTAGTGGAATCGTTTAAAAGTTCAGCACGTCCTACTGACAAATTTTCGCACTTAGTTATAGTATACGATCTCGCTCCTGCAAATCAATTAGAAACTAAATTGAAAGCATATAATGCATTTTTCTAGTTTTTACATTATAAATGAAAACCTTATTCTTTTTTTTTTTCTTTCCATTTTTTCCGTTATAAAAGAAATTCGTATTTTCAATTTATTCATTTCATTTTTTATTCTAATAAATATAAATGGATTCAAAATTTTCGTTAAAATTATATCATTACACTGGCTTTCGGCTTAAATAATTTTTCAAAATATCGCGAAAATGAAAGGCACTTCTCCTGCAATTATGTATTGGCAAGCTTGTTGCTTTGCGTAACGATCTTATATTCTTCCTCTATAGTCCCATAATACAAAGTCGTCGTCCGTCACTCTTTGTCGTTCAAATGTTTCAAATAGTTCGTTATAAACCAGCAAGTCTAGTGATATTAGATATTGTTAATTAATTATATGTATTATACTATTAATTATTAGGTGAACTTATCGAGCATTATTAGAATTATTTTCTGCTTCAAACAAATTACTTTCTTTTCCCCCTTTATTTTTACTTAAAAGTTTTCGCTTCAGTAATTTTACATTTTATTAACGTTTGTGTAAACTACTTCTATGATTTATATGATTTGCTTTAATAATGCAATTGAAAGCAACATGTTTAACTAATTCGTCCATAATGATCGTGGGTTCGAATCTCAAGTGCGGTAAACGTAAACCGCACTTTACCGTGCAGAAAGTAAAAAACCAACAAGAGACTACCAATGTTATCAACTTGTTAAAAAAATTGCTTAAAAACGACTACGTTAGTTGCAAACATCTAATGTCTATTTACAGCAACAACCACGATACTAGATTTATAGCAACAATAATGGTATTACTTTTAAAATGTAAACAATAGCAAGTGCATTGCAAATGTAAACAAAAAATTAGAATTTGCAATAATAATCACACACGGTACTACTTTTACAGCAACAATAAAAAAATAGTAATTATTTTCAACTTTACAATAAATTGATTTGAAACAACAAAAAAAGATCAGATCAAAATAAATTTTATTTTCAAAATTTTTAACCATCGAAAGATATGTTTTATTAGATTTTGTTGTTTGCAACGCTCAGAAATATCTCATAATATATATATATATATATATCCTTAAACTAAGTCTAAGTAGCTTAAGTCTTCTAAAACCGCTAAACACAAGTCTTAAATAATAAAATATTCTATAATTTGGTTATAAGTATTTGCGTATAATTGGACAAATAAATTATATTATATTATTGCGACAATATATTATAAATAAATGGCAAAATTTCAATTTTCTTGTATGCACTTACTTAACCAAATAACACAGTGATGTATTTATGAAAAAAAAACGAAACAGAAACATATGATTAATATATTTCGCCGACGGCTTTGCATTTTAACAGAGTTCAATCTTTGTTTTCTGTTAAGTTGGACATTTAACATAGCTGAATGGCATTACCATTTAAGTTGTAAATTGGTCAGTTAACCATTTAACAGAGCTGCCATTTTTTGACTATTTTTTACAAGAAACTCTGTGCTGTGCCTTTTAACAGGGAATGTAGCGAGGGCTTTGTTTAAAAATTATGGCGGTCTAATTTTAGGCTAACTTGTAAAATTGAGTAAATGAAGAAATTTTATATGGAAACATAGATTTATTAAAATAAATAAAGAAACATTAGATACTAAATAAATTGTAGAGTTTGTAAAATTGAAGAAATTAAGAAATTTTATATGAAAACATAGATTTGCATCTTTATTAAGACGATTTGAATTATTGTGATCACAAGAAGAAAAAAAAGCAAATTAAATTGTATTCTTAAGTGTTTCTATATTTTGAAAAAAAAGTGTTAGAAGAGGAGCTAATGAGTGCAGTTTATACAAAAGGGAAAGAGAAAAAGGATATTTGAAAAGATACACAATGAAGGTTTTCCAAACTATCAAAATGGATTTATAAAAATAGAAACCAGAGACTTTATATTCGAAGAAATGGGCATGTCTAATAAATATAATATAAAAAGAGCTACTAGTAGTAGTTGCGTTCAACTTAAATTTTCTTGTGTTGAACGATGGAGATAGTTGCGATTTTTATCTACCCGATTACTTATGCTTCCTATCCTGAAAGCCTTAAAGAAAAATTTACAATATCGTACAATTTTCAAGAGATCCTTAGCGCCACACAGGTAAATATAACGTTTATATGAACATCATATAAGTAAAAAACTTTTTTTGTAAACCTGAAGCAATTTTGGTTATTGAACTCTTAGAAGAATTGGTTGAAAGTCCAGCATTTGCTACGGAGGAGGTTTTACAAAGTAGCGCATCTAGTTCTGAAAGGAGTT